TTTAAAAAAAAAAGATAATAAAAAAAACAAATGCTGTTTTTTAGTATTTTCTGACACTCTCCTGTGATGGCAGCGTACTATCTACGCCCAGTATTTTAATAGAGTGTAGATAAGAAAGAAAATGGAGAAAAAGTTTTTGTATTTGTGTTTTTTTTTTTTTTTATGCTTGACATTTAATTCATTATCTCATCACTTTGTATCTAATTATTATGACTTTTTGCTGCCTTTACAATGTATTCACAAGCATTTGCCTTTGACTGTTTTCTTATTTTATTCATTTTGTTTCAGTAGAGTTCTTCCTATGTTCTCTAACTCTGCATCATGCTTTTGTGCTATTGCGGATTATAAATTTGCCCCCGGGTATCAATCACTACTTCAAAGTCTTATCCAGTTGTTATTGTTCGATGACTTCTATGTACATAATGACAACATGTTGCAAAACAGTTAGTCATATATTTTTATCATTAAGTTATAGGTGATATTCCTTGCTTGTTATTTCATAATTCTGACATACCATCTCTTAAGTCAGAAAGTATATTATGTAATTGCGAGGCACTATGTCATAATTATTAAATAATAATAGTGTAATTATAATTCTTTTTTTAAATTGTCATGTGGAGGAAAGGGGCTTCCACATAAAGATCTGCAAATGAATTAAATGAATAAAATAAACTCACACATTCAAAAAACTAATTATGCTTTCTGTTGTTTGGAGAATTGTTACAGTACAAAGGACGGAAAGAGAAGGAGGAGCAGAAGAGGAGGTGGAGAGACAAGAAACAAGTGGGGGGCAGTGTTTATCAGTAAAGTAATGAGGGGAGACCGACATTAGATACAGATCAGTGGTGCACACAGAAACGTCCGCGGTTCTAAATTCATGACATGGCAACAAAAATAATCTACTTCACAGTGAATGGGAGACCAGAGCAGGCTGAGTTCCCAGTCGACTGCCCGGCCCAGGACATCAAAGGTATGAGCTAAATAGTATCTTACTGAGCTAAGTTCTCATCTGTTTTACAAATATATTTTCAGCGATATGTAGTAGGCTACGTCTGTTTTCACTCACATATTCACATGCGCAATCATAATGTTTGAGTAGAATAATTATCTGCTTTTATAATGCGATTTTTAAAAAATCAGAATTCTCATTTGCCAAGTTTCTTCTATGTATGTTTACGATATCTTTACACTTACTGAAAGACTAAGAGTTTAATGTGAATATATGATATGTGGTTGTAGAGAGGAATCATTTGTGTTGCCTTAACAGAGTGCAGGTTGACGATAGATGATATTTCAATGGTGTTTTTGTAGCCTAAATATGAAGGTAAACCTGATAAATGCATGAATCCAACACATTTACCAGTCATTACACAAACAGATCAGTGAACAGTGTAGATGCTGTGAAAGGAATCTGAGTGACAGACGACAATACAGCTGCCACTGACAGCCCCACTTGTCACATCGGTTGGAGGCTTTGTCCAGCCCTGGCTTCATGATTTTTATGGCTTGTGTCTCGTTGAAATATTGGTTATCTTAGACATTTCCACCAGTTTTTGTTTGTGTGTGTGTGTGTGTGTGTGTGTGTTTCCATATGGCATAATCTGGTAATTTTTATGTAATTTTTGACTTAACCATCGCAATTACCTGGAACCTGAAGTCACACTATCACACGGTTTGACACAGTTATCATAGTAATTACAAGGAAATGGTCTCAAACCCTCAGCTTGGTTGTGTGTCCTTGTACGTGTAAAAATACCTGGGCATTACAGATTGAATTCAATTCTATTCAATGATCTAAAAAGTGTACTCGCTGGCAGTTACATTACTTGACTAAATGTTACTTCAACCACTGGTTGCAACTTTGTGAAAAATATTTTTGATCAAGGATATTGATGAATGGTAACTTAAAATTTGTCCGTGTTAATGTTTTTATACCAATAATGATAAAACAGACCTTTAAATCTTTGTCAATTATTTATCAATTAATAGTTACAGCTTATAAATCCTTAAAAAAAAAAAGAGTGCCTTGTTAAGTGGTGGCACTTCAAAATTTGAAAAGGTTTGCTCTGTAAAACCTGTGAAATGAACATATAGGTGCTTCTTCCAGATCTCTTCCGTTCTGCAGCCGAGGCAGGACCACATGACATTCTGAAACTGTACAACCCCAAAGGCAACATCATCAACATCTCCCCGAATCTGGAGCCGAACAGTCCTAACTCCTGCTACAAGCTGGAGGTGGTGGCCGCCGACTGCAACAGTGACCCGTTAGGTATCTTTAATTTAGCACCATGGGAATCACAGCATTTGGGTTCATATAAAAACTGTTGACATGCTGTCTGTTCTCTTGTGATTACAGGTGCAGAGCTTGCTGGCGCACTAGGATTTGATCTGTCATCCATGGAAAAAAGGTAGACATGGTGGGAAATAAGGAAGAGAAAAAGACACTTTTTTTCGTTAAAAACTGTGATTTTGTTATGCTACAATCAGTGTGCACTATAAAGTGTGATATAATAACCTATACTTTGAACAATAAGGACAAAAACAGAGCAAGAATGTGACACAACACATTGCTTGATGAACAGCAGATGAACAAACACCTCTCTGACCATATGTCAACACAGACTGCAGAGCCTGGAGAAGAAAATCCTAATCGAAGCTGGTGAGACTCCTGCAGTTGTGTATGAGATGAAGAAACAAGTGGATTCTTTCAGAGAAAAACTAGAGGTACAACAGCAAAGTATCCTTAAGCTTAAAGCTGCTCATGAAATCTGGGGAACTAAACCATCAAGAACTTGAATGGCATAATTATCAGCATATCTTTTTTTTTTTTTTAAAACACAAGAAAAAAAACGTGACTGCCCAGAAAAAGGTGTCTGTTTCACAGAATGGGGGATGGACTGACCACAAAACACCTACGGAAACTTTAATTGAGCATTCTTAACTTAATTTGATTTTAAAGCTATGCACTTTTGATCATTTTTATAACAATGGGTCAAAAAAAAATGCTTGTAGTGATGATTTCACCAAACTTATTGCTTTTGCTCGATATCTATAAAAACTGTTCCCATCAGCTTTGTTTCCAGTCCAAGCAGAGAGCTTTGGAAAGAAATGGTATGCAGTCTGCCAGCACCAGACTAGCTTATGAACATACTGGAACATTTAACAACTATATATCCAGATGTAATAATGAGCGGCAGTCAGACCATTCTCCAGCATGGCAGAGTCAGGTCCGGCTTTGTGGGACTAATATTCCTCAAGCATCACCAGCTAGTTCAACGTTTAAGTTATTCTGTTAAATATCTTATATGGGCTTGATGGAGTGCCAGAAACTTTGAGCCCACGATTTCCAGGTGAATCCTACAGGTGATTCCCTAACATTTTCTTTGATGCTACCATCAGATTGACTACTTTACAATGAAAAAAATGAACTTTGTGAGTTGTTGAATTAATTAAATGCACCTAAACTAAACTTGATTACCATGTTTGTGTTGGTGATTAAAACCTAGTCCACTTAAGTTAGTTATGTATAGATATACTGTTCCAACATAGCTCAGTTTCGTGGAAAAAGTTGACATAGCTGTTTTAAGTAAATCCAACAAACAATTTTTTCAGTGTAGTTTTTACTGGAACATCTCAACATCTATTGAACTAATTGCCATGAAATTTGTTAATTGCTACTTGGCAAATCTTAACATGGTTCCACTATAATCTATGATGTTGAACATGGCAAATGTTATCTGTTCATCACAGTGCGTTGATGTTAGCATTTAGCACAAAGCCCGCAGTCCAGCCTCTCAGAGCATGGCTGTGGAATCATTTAGTAAAAATCTGACAAGATATGTCACATAGGTTACTGGTACAGATTTTTTAGTCAGTGGTGGGATGTGTTTCTCTAACCTGTAAGCTAATTCAGTTTATTCACACTGCTTTTCAGAGTGTGGAGCATCTAAGCTGGCTGGGGTTGTTCAAAGATCTTTCAGAGGGAACTCACAAGCCTTCCCCATTCTATCACAAGAGAACCCTACATAAAACCAGGGAGGAATGTGAACATGTACGGGAAAAGTTCCTGCAAATGAGGTACATTCACATGCATCATAACTATTCTGCCTGAATATATGTTATGTTTGAATATTTTGCTATTCTTTTTGCTTATGTTGTCAGCTCTCTGGAGGTATCAGAGGAAGTCAGGCAGTACCTAAAGACCCCAACCTTTGATAACTGGTAAGTTTTGATCGGAAAAGCAGGTTTTAATGTCAGCCGGCGAATCAGTGTTCATCATAGTGATGCGCTGGGTGTCTTTGCATCTGTGTAATCATAAAACAAACGAGTGCGCCTGTTTCCTCAGTGTACAGACAGCGAGGTAAATGTCAGTTAATGACATTCGTGCCCAACAAACACCTCTGATGCATTTCTGAAGAGGGTAGGAGCCCTCACCCTTTCCCTCTGATCAACACACTCATCTCAATATGAATAGGCCTGCAGAGTGCTTTCAATTTGAAAGAAGGTTTTCATAAAAGCCTTAATCAACAGACCAGGTTTGAAATAAGCTTCATTAAGAAGACTGCATTTACTAAGGATGGCAATCATTTTATTTGTTCCAAAGCTTTTAAAGGAAACCCAAAGTGGTGGAGGTGGATGGACATGGGGTTATTTGCAGACTACAAACTGAGAACTGAAGCTTGGCACATCACGTTAGCACTATCTGGGCAGTGAGTCGAGCATCAGTTTAGATTCATTTTGCTGTCAATAAATTCCTAGAAGATGCCAAAACCAACAGTGTGTAGCCCTTTTTCTCAACTGTTCTTTCTAAGGACATCAAATAGTCCAGAGTTTCTAAGCATATTTTTAAAAAGGTTGCTAAAAGTTGCTGTAAACACCTGAGTCAAACAGAAGAAAATATCTAAGTAAATAGTGCATTTGTAGAGGATTATTTTCTGCTGCTGGTGAATATTTTCAGACAACAGGATGGTGTATGTGGGAGTGCCTGTAAATAAACTTTGTGTATGTGTTCATTATAATCAAGGAGCAGTGCAATGCATCAGTGTCACTCATTGATGTGCTTTTTGACACAGGTCTTTCAATAGATGTGTTAATAGATTATTTTCATTTTTCCAGTGAGACACCTTTATTAACAGACGACAAACCAAACATGCTGAGTTTCTGCTATCAGTCTGTCCATACAGCCTACATCAGGGATGTCCAATCCTGGTCCTCAAGGGCCACAATTCTGCATGTTTTAGATGCTTCCCTCTTCCAACACACCTGATTCACATGATCAGCTCATCATCAAGCTCTGCAGAAGCCTGATAACCATCCTGATCATTTGAATCATGTGTGTTGAAAGAGGGAAACATCTAAAACATGCAGGACTGTGGGGATTTTCTGTATCATTATCATTCTTCCAAATCTGTGTATGGCTAAATTACTCCAAAACTGGAACCTGCAGAGTTGTAGTTGAGCTGTTGTGCTTGAGCTGCAGTGGTTGGGGACAAGTGGGGACTTCAGAGATCTGCACATTCTAGAGGAAGCAATGATAAAGATTTACATTTTAGCTATTTTAAGGCAGGAAGTGGTTATTAGCATCGGAAAAAAATTCTAAATGTGCAATTTCAACCCAGAGAGATGTTTATAGGGGGTTATTCAGTGACCAAAGAGAGACTTTAACATTGTGTTATTATCCTTGCGGATGTATCTCTGTAGCTGAGCAGCAGCTTGTATGTCACTGTTTGAGGCAGGATGTTGGAATCTAATGGAAAAAAGCCACACACTGTCCTCTTGTACTTAAAAGGACCTTTCCATAGTATAGTGTATTTTGTGTGTGTGTGTGTGTGCAGGCAGTGGGAGGATGCAGAAATCATGGTGCTCCTACAGGTCATGTACACAGATTTAGATTTCATAGCGACCTTTAACATTGAGCCAGAGGTACTGCAACAGTTCCTGTTTGAAGTCTACCGAAGATACAACAACATCCCTTTCCACAACTTCAAGCACTGCTTCTGTGTGACCCAGATGGTGAGTATGTGTGTATGTGCATGTGTTAGTGTGAAGTTTAATCAGAACAAATCACAGAGAGACCAGTGGTATCTGTAATCATGCAATAATGCAATTATGCCATCACCTTGATGGCTAATGGGTGAAGGACATCTAACCCTCAGCGCAGACAAATCTACAGGCCAGGCATTTATCATCCATCAAGGAAAACACTTTAGGTTCAATTCTTGTCTGGAACATTTCCAGTGTATACCTGCTGCATAAGGGTTACATTCTCTGAAGCAGCTACAATCAGTAAGTAATTGTGTATCAAATGAAAATGGGACCATGTGAAATTGGAATCTTGTTGTGATAATTAGCATGCCCTAAATCTTCCCTCAGCTTCCCTCAACCACAGGAAGCCTTAAAGTGAGCTTTGGCTCATTTTTCAGCTGTTGGGAAAATAAAATAAACACATTCCATCATAGCATAACAAGATTTTATGAATATGCAAAAACTATTCAGGCCTTCCAAAGATCTGACATCAGCTGGTAACAATAACACCCAAAAGCTTCTTATCGTTGAATATTACCTGACATAACAGACACAGTTAGAAGCTCCATGGTGGAATATTTAGTGACTAAAGAGCAAGATATTGTGTTCAGGAGCTGGTAGAGACAAAAAACAGAGCAGGATGGGAATAAATATTGCACTTCAATTCAACAGGTATACAACAACAATGCTGCAATTGAATGACAATCTACTTATATGGCTGAAGGATATTTACGCTGAGACTGTAAACACTATACTACACAGTCTGAAAAGTATGCAGCAGCAGTGTTTTATTTCTAAACACAGAAGTCTGAGTGAAAATGAACTTTTTTTTTTTCTTGATGTGTTACCTTAAAAAAAAAGTTCTAAATGAGTTTATGGTCTGAATTGTTACTTTAAACTCTTCTCCAAAACAACATATTGTTCATTTTGGAAATGATGATCCCAATTAGGGTTAGACGGATGATAAAGCACGATAGGTGGGCAAAAGTCATTGCAAGTTTAAACCTGCATAATCAATAGTTTGCATTATTGATTCAGATGAGGGACTGCAAAGTGTCTCAGTGGTTAGCACTGTTGCCTTGCAGCAAGAGGGTCACCTCTGGGCGTCCCGGTGAGGACACCCAGGATCTTTTGCGTGGAGTCTCCATGTTCTCCCCGTGCAGTGTGGGTTCTCTCCAGGTTCTCCGGCTTCCACCCACAGTCCAAAGACATACTGAGGTTAATTGGTGATTCTAAATTGTCCGTAGGTGTGAGTGTGCTTGGTTGTCTGTCTCTAAGTGCAGCCCTGTGATAGACTGGTTACCTGTCCAGGGGAACCTGCCTTCACCCTGAGTCAGCTGGGATAGACTCCAGCCCCCCGCAACCCTAGTGAGGATTAAGCGGTGTATAGATAAAGGATGGATGGATTCAGATGAGACCGTCACCGTAAAAGCTTGTGCCGAGGGCCACAAGGAATTATCAGCCAGCTCTGCAGGGCCACAGGGCATTTAGCCTTTTCCCTTTTCGTATCATTTAGCTCTATCAAAGCAAGCTTTGATGAACCCACGATATGCTACCAGAGCTGTAGGGAGGCATGAATACAAGGAACAAAGCTCTAAATTCATGTTGCCTCATGACTGCTACATTGGCCATGGAGGTAATTTGTCTGCTAACATGCTAGCCATGTCAGTTTCAAGACAGTGGTGTAAGTGTATCTGGCCTTTTCTCTTCTTAAATGTAATTTTCAGTTGAGTTTCATTGCCCAGTGCCAATTCACAGCACAAATCATCTCAGGGATTTCAATGCGCCACTATGTTTACAAGATAGTTGCTAATTTACTCTCATTTACTGCTCTCATCACGCTGGCTGCAGTGTGTATGCCAGCTACTCAGCACCAAGCATCCATCCATCCATCATCTATACACCGCTAGATCCTAAGTGGGGCCACAGCAGGGCTGGAGTCCCAGTTGAATTAGAGAGAAGGCAAGGGACACCCTCCAGTCCCTCACAGGGCTACACAGAGAGACAGACAAGCACACTCACATTCACGCCTACAGACATTTTAGAATTAACAATTAACCGCAGCATGTTTTTGGAACAGGAGAACCCAGTGAGAACCCACATGCACAGAAAGGTCTCAGGCCCGGACATGAACCAGGGATCTTCTCGCTGTGAGGCGACAGTTGTACCTACCAAGCCATCGTGCACCCTCGCTAAATTTATCTCCATAAATCACACTTGCTCCACCTGGATTGTTTGCAACAAGAAAACTTCTAAATAAAATATGGAGAAAAAAAAACTAAAACAGAGGTAAATAGAGAGAGGGTACTACTGGGTTGATCATTTCTACGTGTTTGTGGTTTACTCCATTGCCCCCAAACATACAAAAGGTACCTATGATCCCCTACAGTCCATTCTTTAGTTCCTATCATGTGTACTTTATTGTTTTAGTTTTTCTCATTTGTGAACAGATGTATGGTCTGATCTGGCTGACGGACCTGAGGAGTAAGATGGACAGTGTTGACCTGCTGATCATGCTGACCTCTGCAGTGTGCCACGACCTCGATCACACAGGCTACAACAACGCCTACCAGGTATCTGAAGTGAGGGACTCTGGTACTAATAGGAATAGAACTTTGGAAGACACCCACTTGATCTGTCTACTTCAGACTGTCGCAGCCACATGTTAGCCTCAGCTGAACTATACAATACATTTTTACGTTGAATGAGGACTGTAGACTTTGTGCTCCATGAGAACATGAGTGTGGTATTGAAATACATTATAAGCTGGCTCATTATGTGATTAAAGGGAAATTTTTACAGTTTTACAGCTGTCAGTGTCCTCTAGTGGACAAAGCATGTAATGGAGACAGTGTTCCTAAATTGACTTTTGTGTTTTTGTGTAAAATTACCGATGATAAATAAAAGTATAAATAAACAGCAGCACTGTACCTGCACTGTGTCTATTGTATTTGATCTGTTTTGTGGTCCAGTCTCATTTTCCAATGATGTTTTTATGTTGTAATTCAGCTTAATTTTCAAGTTACGTAAATATAGCAGTTAATTTTAATTTAGTGTAATTTAAAGTTAATGTTTGACCATCTTTCAGATAAATGCTCGGACTGAACTTGCTCTCCGCTACAATGACATCTCTCCACTGGAGAACCACCACTGTGCTGTGGCCTTTGAGATACTTGAAAGGGTAAGAACATAAATACTGCTGTTTGCTTAAAACTTTCTGTCCAAGCTGTTAAAAGACATACATTTTAGTTAGAAGTTGTGAACTAATCTGTCACCGTAATATGGAGCCTGTCAACCACCCAGTATGAACAGACAGTCTTTTTGTGTTGTAGACAGAGAGCAACATCTTTAGAAATCTGTCCATGGATCAGTACAAAAGGATAAGGGAGGGAATCATCAAGTGAGATCATCTTCCTAATGACTTATTTACATTTTCTAATTGCACTGAATTGTGTAATCACGACAGCATATGTTTTCTATGCTGCTGGAACTGCAGATGCATTCTGGCCACTGACATGACGAGGCACAATGAGATTCTCAACAAGTTCAAGTTCATCCTGCCTGCTTTTGACTTCACCAACAAGGATCACAGAGATGTGGTAAGACGAATGCAAGTGCACAACAGGCAGATGTATTAACAAATTAAGGTTTGGTGAGTTTTGTTTGTTTGTTTGTTTGTTTGTTTATGTGTTTGTTTGTTTTGGAGGGCAGAGGAATATGAAGAACAGATGTTGTTGTGAAAGGGAACAATTGCATTTTTTCTTATTTTGTTCTTCAAACTGCTGGATGGATTGTGGAACACAATGACATCTCCCTTGTGTCCATCTATTTCAAAGGCCAGGGAGCCCTCCCTGATCCATCTCATGACATTTTGGTGCTCTCTAGCTCTCAAAAGCCAGCTAGATACATGCAGACCTTTTGAAAATGTTTCTAATAATAGTGTTAGAAATGTCATGGTATAATTATTGTTGAACACTTTTCAAATCAAAACACACCCAATTCAAACACTGACCACTGGCTGGTCAAATGCTATCTCCATCCATCCATCCATCCATTATCTATACACCGCGTAATCCTCACTAGGGTTGCGGGGGGCTGGAGTCTATCCCAGCTGACTCAGGGTGAAGGCAGGTTCACCTGGACAGGTCACCAGTCTATCACAGGGCTACACTTAGAGACAGACAACCAAGCACACTCACATTCACACCTATGGACAATTTAGAATCACCAATTAACCTCAGTATGTCTTTGGACTGTGGGTGGAAGCCGGAGAACCTAGAGAGAACCCACGCTGTCTCTCTCATATCTGTTTATTTTTTTCCTTGTTTATGCAGCTAATGATGATCCTGATCAAAGTGAGCGACATATCCAACGAGGCGCGGCCCATGGAGGTGGCTGAGCCCTGGTTGGATTGTCTTTTGCAGGAGTTCTACAACCAGGTACTGACTCCAACACAATGTTAAGACGTTTCATACTGTGGCAACACAATTGAGTGTAAGATTGGATCTATTGTGCCTCACATGTTCCTCACATAATCTGACAGTAAATCACAGCAACAGTTAAATGTGTGTGGAACTCAAGACATGACTCAATCTAAAATTTAAGAATGTTATAATCAATTGATGCTGGCTGATGCTGGAGCTGCATGGCATCTCGGTGGTTAGCACCGTCGCGTCACAGCTAGAAAATCCGCAGTTCACAACCCGGCCTGGGCCTAGGGTTTTTGTGTGTGGAGTTTGCATGTTCTCCTCGTGCAGCGTGGGTTCTCTCCAGGTTCTCCAGCTTCCTCCCACAGTCCAAAAACATGCTGAGGTGAGTTGATGATTCTAAATTGTCTGTCGGTCCGAATGTGAGTGTGCTTGGTTGTGTCTGCCTTGGGGTGCATAATGGAAAGTTATTTGTTATGTGTTTAATTCTGGTTGTGTGGTCTTTCTGTTGTCAGAGCGATGTGGAGAAGCTAGAGGGTCTTCCAGTCACCCCCTTCATGGATCGGGACAAAGTAACAAAGCCTTCATCTCAAACTGGCTTCATCAGATTTGTCCTCCTGCCACTCTTCATCGAGCTGGCCAACCTCTTCCCCTGTCTGGAGGTAATGAAATCGCAGCTGTGGAGGAAATGCTGTATTTATTTACTGTTTTGTATGCAGCTTGATGAGTCGAGTTTTATTCATCCTTTGTTAATTCTGCAGCTCCACATTATCGACCCTGTGCGGAAGGCCCTGGACTACTACACTGAAATGGAGAAAGCACTGGACAGGGAGAAACAGAACTGGGCTCAGAGTGAGAATGCAGCCAAGAGCAAGGAGGCAGCTGTTGGCAGACAGAACAGCCAGATAGAAGCTGGGCCAGAGGCCTCAAAACCAGACATACAGTGAACTATAGTGGACAAACACACATTTATGAACTGAACATGGCCTATTTTTCTTATCTGAACATTTGTATGAATTGTAGCTGATTTAAATGCACTAGAACCGTCTAAATTTGGTTTTCAACTGTTTATTTACTGGGTCAAGCACAAGCACTGTATTCTATTTTAGGCAGTTTGTGTTGTAGGCTGAGTGTAGTGCAGTATTGATTCAATCAGAATACAATGGAATCATTTTAGCAGGTAACATATTTCAAAAAGTACAGTGTTGAATTAATTCTTTGGTCCCAAGGTAGTCCAGAGAAAAAAGTGCTAAATCTCCAGTGTTGATGATACTGGTAGAAATAAACTGTATATACTGTAAACTGGTTTGGTGTAGAGTTAATAAAACACTGCAGTATGTTCCAGTATGGGATTTACCGAACCCAACCAAGGTTGCCATGTGGGAACAGCCCCATACCTCCAGGGGCCTCAAAAGCTCCAGGTTTACTCCATATCTTGTGGGTCCACATGAGTCAATGCAGATGGCTGCCTTCCCTGAACCTGTTTCTGTTGGATGTTTCTTCCTGTTCAAGGAGCTTTTTTTTTTTTGTTGTTCCCATTGTTGTCAAAGAGGGCTGCAAGGTGGGTTGGTGGTTAGCACCGGTGCCTCACAGCTAGAAGATGGTCGGTTCATGTCCCGGTGAAAACACCCGGGATCTTTCTGCGTGGAGTCTCCATGTTCTCCCCGTGCAGCGTGGGTTCTCTCCAGGTTCTCCGGCTTCCTCCCACACAGTCCAGGAACATGTTGAGGTTAATTGGTGAATCTAAATTGTCTGTAGGTGTGAATGTGAGTGTGCTTGGTTGTCTGTCTCTAAGTGTAGCCCTGTGATAGACTGGTGACCTGTCCTGGTGAACCTGCCTTCACCCTGAATCAGCTGGGATAGGCTCCAGCCCCCCGCGACCCAAGTGAGGATTAAGCAGTGTAGAGATAATTGATGGATGGATGGATGGATGTTGTCAAAGAGAATTGTTGGGTTGGTAGTGTTGTTCGGTCATGACAGTTTTGAATTGCCCCTTGGGGATAAATAAAGTTATTTGAATTGAATTACAATAAGAAGTCAACTGATTAATTGCAAATTTGTTTGAATGTTGCACTGCTAAAGTGATGCTGGTCTTTGGGAGGTGCCCTGTGTCAGAATTCTTGAACATGAATACAATGGTAGTTTATTGATGGTGGGATGAAACTGATGATTTTTTTTGTGTTTGAAATTTTGTTTACAGAAAAACCTAAAAAAATGTTGAACAGAAAGTATTGAAGAAAGCCCATCATATTAACATATAGATTGTCCCTTTTTGTATGACCTAAAATTAAAACAAAAAAATTAACAATTATTGTGTTGAGTCTTGTAAAATCAAAACCTGGTAAACTACCAAACATTTAAGAAGCTTTAATTAGTGGATTTTGTAGAATATTGGCTTGAAAATAATCTTTGGCAATACACTGAGTAAATTTTTTGTAATTGCTTCTGTCATTTCATTAATCAGTGAAGCAAAATCATAAAACTAACATGTATAGTGGCGGTAAGCATGTTTGCCCTGAGGCCCATCGAAAGTTAAATCCAGGAACTGTAAGCTGTCTTCAGTTCATTTTTTGTTTATTTTCAATAAATGCATATTGTAAAAAAAAAAAATAACTACGACCAAAATAAGTGTAGTCTGTCGATATCAAAAACTGTAGGATGCATGACCGGACTATAGGTGTCACCATACAGTAAGTCCTGTCAAACTGGACTCTTCAGTGACACAGTGCTGTGGAGGCAGACTTGGCAATGCAAGACCAACAGAGCATAAACAGGACCATTGTGTATCTTATTCACAGAACACAGTTCAGAGTCAGTCAGTGAATGACAGCATGAGGTAGACACTTCCATTTCTGTCCAGTGTCATAAAATAAATAAAAGGTTTAAGTATTGAAGGGGAGACCACACATAGTTATCTATTATGTAAAATAACCTGACTAATTAAAATGTTAAGGATAAAACCCTGCAACAAGTATATAAAATACAACTGTGCCTAATTATAAATTCTAAGGCTCATCCCTTGTAACAGGAAGAAACCGCCAGCAGAACCAGGTTCAGGGAGGGCAGCCGTCTGCCTCGAGTGGTTGGGTCGAGGGCACAGGAAAGAGAGAAATGGATAGTCGAAAGAAAAAAACACAAGATATCATCAACACTAAACCAGTCGGTAAGACAAGTAGATAGCAGATCAGACCTGTACAGTTCCTGAGCCAGGAACACCTGCAGAGAGGTTCAGGGACAGAGAGAACAAGTCACGAGGTACAGGAGAGACAAGACACAGAGTCTACAACTTGGAATAGTGCATACATATTTATATATACAGCAATCTGAACAGGACAGAGAAGGAAAAGCGTATGGCCAGATTTAAATAAATAAGACTACGCTATAATAGCAAAACAGTCCATGAGAAAACTGAATGAAATCAGGCTACTACTCAATATCAAACAGAAAAAGCAAAGAAAATACAAGTGGATGTGACTGGGGCAGCTACAGAAATAATTAAAAGTGAGGGAAGGTGAGCCTTTGTTACTGATGTTAAATTGCTAATTGCTGGACAGGATTTAATGTAGAATGGGAGACATTCCAGAGCCTGGGTGCAATACCTGACAAAGGCCTGTCATCTTTAGGTTTGATGTAGCAATTGGGGACCAAGAAGAAAAACTGTGGCAGCGATTTTTTAGTCTGACAAGTATGTAACAGCGGGGAATCAAGAACCCAGGTGCAAACAAGATAAAGGCAGACAAGCAGATGAATTTAACAAGAGTTTAATGAATGACAGATTAAACAGAAACCAATGTAAAGGGGGGAAGCTAAGCTGAGAGGAAAAATGGAACAGGGAAAACCAGACTGAAATAAGAAAAGGGGCAAAAACCTATGAAAAACTCTAAATTAACACTAAGAGGGAAACCTAAGGAAAGTAATGTGAATAAACTAAAACTAGAACAACAAAACAGGGTTATTCATGGGGCTGGGGCCAAACTAGAGGGGAAGGCTAGCTGGGGGAATGCAGGCTGGAGGCAGGTTGGGGATCAGAGGCAGGAGAAGGCTGGCTGGGGGAAGATCTAGGTGGAGAGAGTATAAGTGATGCAGGGGGTGTTCAGGTCACAGTGGCTCGGCGACAGCATGCAGGAAACAGAACGAGAGGGAGACTGGCAAGGGCTGGCGCTGAGGCTGGGGGTCATGGCAAAGCATTCTTCGTATTTTTTAATTGCTAATGGCCCAACAAGTTGTCCTGCAGCTGAGCAGATTACAGTGTTGTATAAAGGGGAGAACTAACTAACTATGATAGCTCTTGTAACAACCATGTTCAAGTGAGTGCCCCTACCGCTCAATTGTTCACAAGCCAAATAAAGATTTGGTCTATATTTAGGCCTTAGACTCTGATCATTAGAGGAAACCCATCTGACTGAAAGGAGAGAACAGCAGACAGTGTGTAAACTCCTTAACCCTGGCTGTGGAATAGGAGCTGCTGCAACAGCTGCAGTTGGATGTGTGTGTGAGTGTCCCAATGGCGTAACTACTGCCGGTGCAGGCGGAGCAATGGGCCCCGGTGCCATAGGGGGCTCACTCTTGGGCCCATGTGATGCCAGTACAGTGGGTCTGCTCACCATCTCCTGGCAGGACAGCTCTGTGGCATCCTCCTACAGCGATGTTTACACAGCATTGCTTTGTATTTTACCATACCTGTCACTGTTGCGACTGCAGGGTGCTCTTTTTCTAAGCTCAAACTCATCAAAACATATTGGGCAGTATGGGACAGGAAAGACTTAGTGGGTTGGCAATGCTCTCAATAGAGAACAACAGAACCAGGAATTTGGACTTGAGCAATGTTGTCAGCGACTTTGCTGAGTGGAAGGCCTGCAGGATGAACTTGTAATGGCCGAGTACTGCTTAGTGGTTATTATGCATTGGGATCAGTGATTTGCAAACTGAGTTATCACGTCTGCAATGTCTGCTGGTATTCTGTGTGTGTGAAAACATTTGGCCGCTGTGCCACTGATGATGAATAATGAGTGTTTTCATCCATTCATACTGAGGCAGTAGCAGAAGAGGCAGCCTTTGCACTGAGACATGCAACCACCAGGCAACGCTGTGCTGTCCTGACCTGTACATCTGATTAGCTTATGGTTTATCCATTATTTGTTTGAAGCAATAATGCAATCGACGATCACTGGTGAAACGTTAGCATGTGCCGTTGTACTCCTGGCGTGGGGTGATGCGTGCCCGCCATGCATTCACTTTTGTTCATGAGTTGTGAGTGCGTGCGCCTTGATTAACACGCAAGAGGCACTTGCTATCTCATTAAGTGCGACGTGCGTCTTAGACCATGGATTTTCTTGCCAAGGTGCCTTAAAAATGTACACGTCTCACTTGCAAACTCCTGGTGGGGGGAGCAAGTTACACTTGCTGCATCGCTGTTCACAGAGAATTCGCAGACTCTTTTTGACATGTCAAGATCGTCCCTATGTTCTTACGGGCTGTGTGCGACCTTGGCATTTCGCAAGATGGACTTGTGTGGCACGTACCATTTTGCATGTATATTGGACAGGCCGTAGGAGCTGTACAGCCGGTGTTGTGACCGAGGCTTGAATTAACTCTTCACACCACAGAAGAGCAGTACAGAAGTCTATCAATTTGTACTCTCACTAGGTTGTTTTGTAAAAGAGAAAAGCAGTGTTTGTTTCACAGAACGGAGCATCAAGTTATTGGTTAATTCTATGCTGATCTGCCATTTCTCATATAAGTCTACATTCAACTTTGTGAACTGCAATTGTCTCTCTGTTTCTAATAGCATTAACAACAGCTCTGTTCTATTCAAGTGATGCAGCATGACTAAAGCAGCGAAGTGGAATTCATTCGTTTTTATGTTTAATCACCTATTGTGACATGTCAAAATGTGCAAAAGAGCAGACGTAACAGAAGTGTAAAAAGAGCACTGAGATAGAAATCTGACAAGTATTTACTTTTTTATTTTTAATCTGCAGCTCAGTGCACTGACTCTTTATATTTTCTAATCCCATGTTATATCATTTTTTCATTGTGTATACAGAAGCACAAGCTCTGACAGTGATCTGCTTTCCCTCCCTCCTGGTTGACTTTTAAAATGTTTTGCAGTAATGTGTTGTGATGATGTTTTAGATTAGTGTCCTGTGTACTTCGGCAGTCTGCATCACTTTGGATTTTGCAGGTTTTAAGCGGGTATTGTCCATCTGTTGGTTCTCTAAAATGCCACGCCATTAACTGGTAGATCAGGCAGCAGTTGGATTATTAAAACCATTTTGAATGACAAAATAAGACTGAATTTTATAAGTCTCAAAGGAAATCCTTGATAGGCCGAAGGAGCAGCTTTGATTACTTCAACATTACAAGATCACAAGATGGACAAAATCTTTTGACTGTTCACCATCTCCTGAAACACATCAGAAATAACGCAATCAACAATGCAATGGGGTCAAGGTATACAATTTAACAATTTACAATTTAAAAACATATGTGTTCCAAAAATATATATAAAAATCACATGGAAATAATACCTCAGTGTTTTAAAATAGCTTAACTGTAATTCTACACAGTTGCTCCCTGCAGAAACTGTAGATTTTTGGAGTGCATCCCAATCAGACACTCAAGCAGGCTCGCTGAAGGCTGGTTCACCTGGACATAGTAAAAAGCTCCTGGTCATCAGTTCTGTATTGGATGAGGGGGTATGGGGATGAGAAGCATCGAACACCATCCCTCAGTCAAACATGGTGGTGGGACTGTAATGCTTTAGGCGTGTTTCTCAGCCTATGGGCCAGACAAGCCTGTCAAAGCAAACAGCATCATGAGAGAAGAGGACAAGATTAAACAGTGGAGGAAAACATCACTCAACAAGACAATGACGTGACACACAGCGACCAGTGAATGCTTGACAGGGTATCAATATATGACACTTTACACTGTACAGGTCACAGCGGACCAGTGTCTCCAGGAAGTCCCCATCAGCTTCTGACGCACTCAGCTGACTGGGAAGACTGGGTTCAGCTTGCTGGTGTCCTCGCGACCTCGCGTCCTTTACTCGTGTGAGAGTGCCCCCAAACCTGATTGGACGACGCGTGGCCGACGCCTTCTATCAGCAGCCAATCGCTGCCTGTGCGCCGGCCGGTTCCGGTACGTCGTCTCCAGCAGGCGGCCTGTCCGCACCGTCGGTCGACTTGTCCCTCACGGGTGGTGGATCGTGCCTGGTACTGACAGAAGGCGAGGACAGCCAGCAGCCGGTACCGGTACCGGTCATCGTTTGTTTCCGTCAGTGTTTGATCATACTACTGAGGATGGAGCCGCTGGTAGCCGCCATCGACCAGGGGACGAGCTCCACCAGGTTCCTGGTGAGTGGAGCTACCGGACTTCATACCGGACTTGGGTGCTGCTGAATCTGTTTATTTAGCCGCTGAGCTGCTGCCACCATGAAGACTGTCACTGGAAGTGTGGAAAGTGAAATGACAAAGTAGGCTGACATAAAAACTAAGCGGTCGTGTGTAATGGGTCACTATCTTCCAGACTAGAGGACGAGGATCACCTCCGTTAAGCTGAAGCTGTAACATGAAACCTCACGGTTCGCTGTTGCAGCAGTCTGGTGTCCTCCAACATGTGGAAGTGAACATTAGAGACATGCTTTGTAGAACTGGTCAACTGATTATTAGTTATGTTGAAATGCATCTGCTGATGTTTACCACCACATGTTGAATAGATTTATTGATTATGACCCTTACCATTAGAATTTGGACCCTGTGCTCATTAGAGAATCTGTATCCTGAGTGCTGAGCATGTATTATTAAGGAGAGCAAGAATATTATCAGAAGTTAACACAAATGAACCAAATTAATTTCACAATACTGCAATGTGAAGAAGCATTCGTCAAAACACAATTCATTAGGGCTTAACAGCACATTTAAAAACACAATATTCCTATTATTTTGACAGAAGTTGCTCTTTGAGTCTCGATTTTATTGGAAATAGTCATTTTTGCATTTCTTTTACAAATGTGAAAATGAGTGACGTGATTTCTGATGTGGTCTTTACAAAACAAGCATGTTCTCTTATGTCTAGGAAAATGTGGTTTGCAAACGGAACATCTCTGTTGTACTACAGTACTTGATTTATAATGGTATGCTGTTAGACATTTTGCCTTTCCCAAAACATTGCAGCACCATGTTTTTTTGATTAATTGTTCAGCCCTGCAATTATACCAGCCAATAATTGTTGAAATTAATATTGAAACCGGCACAAAGAAATACTTCAGATTTATTGAAGGAAAATAGAGGAATGGATAGCTCACAACTCCTCTTAAAAAACTTACATTTTCTCCAGTTTTGTTGGAATTTCTTTCTGATTTGCTCAGTTTGTATTATTAACTAGCAAAGACACACACCTTGTTAATATCATTCAAGTTCTGCAGATGGTACTCTGAATGTTATCCTCCTGTCCTGAGGAAACCATGACAGTTGTCTTTTTATTACTTTGTGTCCGCTGGTGAGAAAGTAGTAAAATTAATCCCATTGAATAACCTGTTGTGATTAAAACTGGAACTCCTCAAGTAGGTCAGCTGGAAGATGGAGTCTTGGCACCATCCACAGTAGTGTGTGGCTGTGTGGAGACAGAAGAGCTGTTTCTGATGGTCGAGTACGTGTGGTCAGGGTTATTGTGAGATTTAATGACCTCTTTTTCTTGATTAACTGGAACAACAGAGTTGCTGTTTGACGAGCAGATTGAAACTGCTTTTATTTGGCCACCGCTATGGCTCAACTGGTTGAGCTGGCAACCCATGTACTGGGGCTACAGTCCCAGACGCAGCGGCCATGGGTTCGAATCCCGCTCATGTCCCTTTGCTGCAATTCCTTCCCCCATTCTTCTCCCCCTCTTTCCTGTCTCTCTCTCTCCACTGTCCTATATAACAAAGGCAAAAAGGCCAAAAAAATAACTCTAAAAGAAAAAGCTTTTATTTTTAGATTGAGTGACAAGACTGTAGTGCAACTATGGACAGTCACTAGAGAACAACTAAATCTGAGAGACATCTGTCTCAGACCTCATCAAGGTTCGTTAGCATCAGGGCTGTTTGTTAGCAGTGCTCACGAAAAACAAAAAGGCAGATCCATATTTTGACATGATCAGCAAAATGTTTACTTTTCAATCGCAACCCCAGCCTACTTTATTATGCTGAGGGACACAGTGTGAATGTATGTAGTTAATAATTGTGAAAGTCCACAGCAAACCTGGGCTAAACTTTACCCTGGATGTTGTTTTAACGAGTAACCAGGTTCGTTAAAATGGTCTTTGACCCAACATTTCCCTCAGCTCACTCTAAGGTCAGCCCTACAAAGGCAGATCTGGACAGATGTTAAACTTTAACGTAGAAGGTTGTTTTTATGTTTCATTGCAAGACCATAGTCACAATAAACAACTGTGTAGCAAGTTATAGATGATGATAATAAGTAACTGGTAATGCTAAAATATGTCATTGACATATCTGAGCCTTGTCTCTGGATCCTCTCCGTTTGTCTAGCAGAAGATGGACTGCAAATTCATCCCTCTGTCTTTGCAAACTTGACTTTAGCTTTAGTTAAAGTTTTCATTTGGTGTTGAATGAACGTGCAGCAGAGTTAAGCTTGAAAAGATCATCAGTGTTGTGCGTGAGCGAGAAAGACACCGCGAGCGAGCATGAATGTGTAGTTGAGCGCACAGAATGGAGATCTGTGAGAGCGTAAATGACAAGACCGAGTGAAAGACAGCATGATCATGCATGTAGGTTGATTGTTGCAAACACGGCAGTAATAGTTTGGAGCGCAGAATAGATTTTGTTTGCTCAGGATTGTGGCACAAATATAATTCCATCTGCAATTCTTCGAATTACTCAGGTTGATTTTCTTAGTTTGCTGTTGTGGAAGTTCAACAGTTGCTCATGTACAAAGTGACATATGAACTGCTAAAGGATGTTTAATGCATACAAGTACGGAGCATCTAACGTCTAACCTATGAGCCCCCAAACAATTCTGCAATCATTGAAGGAACTATACAACAGTTGTGTCTTATCTTATCCACAATATGAGTATCTGTGCCGAGATAGGAAGAAACTCATTTAAAATTTCTCGTACTTTGCTTGGTGAAACCTCTTTACTCTGTCTCCATCTGAAGCTGGTGGAAGACACAAGGCCATATTTGCATCATTACTGGATATTCCTGTACTTCTACTTTTCTATGCTAGAGCTTGGACTCACTTCTACTCATCCTGTTCAGTCTGAACATTAACACAAACAAGTTAATTACACAAACAAAAACTGACAAAATAATAAATATAAAGTGGTGGACCCCTAATTCCACCATTAGCCTACAGGTTAATGATCTTCATGCAATAACTCACATAAAATGTGAGATTAGTGCACAACTTATGTTGCCTTGTATACATTTCCTTTGCAATAAACCATTTTAGATGCTTTTTGCAGTAAAGCAGGTACACTGACAATAATAAGGGTGAATCCAGAGCTGGCACCTGTAGGTTGCTGAATGTTTTCCAGGTTAATTGTATTGGCTTCTGTTATACTGTTGATGTGAGGTGCCGAGTAGCTACATGAAGCATAGAACTTGTTGCTTTAGGCCTAACCATGATGCTTTCGGTGTCATGAGAGTTTGGGAGATAATCTGTTCTTTGAGGAAGCAAACAGTAGGTGCGCACAATGCACTGGTCTTTGAGGTCTGTGGATTAACTGGACTTATCATTTAAGTTGGAGAGGGATATTACAGTTTTCCAAAGGATTTTTTTTTTGGCATGTGAAGCATCACAGACTAAACACTGCTGAGGGAAGTGAGAAAAGTGAAAATGACTGTTTGCAAGCTGTCTTGATGGATTTATAACAACCATGATTGCTTTAGACATCAACTTTTTGTAGTCTGGCTGACAACCAGGATCACACGGGAAAAACTATCATATGCTCTGTCTCTCTTTACAGGGGGAGGTTTTTCCTGTTTGCTGTCCAGCTATGTGACTTCAACTGAATGTTACCTCTTTCTTTTTAGTATCAGAAGGGTCCGCCTGCAGCCTGCCCAGTCCTCCTAGCTTTCTTTTTAAGACTAACACAAAATAGAACTGGTTAAGGTAGCAAAGCCACTGAAACCTACTTGTGGCCCGTACATCCCAGAATGTTGTTTTTCTTGGCAGTTTTAGTATTGTCTGCAGCTGAACTGTAGGGGTTTACTGTAGCGTGTAGACAAGAGGTTTGTCCTATTACTTCATTCGAGGAAATGCTGAAGTCGATCTTGTTGTAGGTTCCAACTAATATGCTGCCTTAATATTGATTCCTTCCTTCTCTGTGATGGCTGGCTGTTATTTGTTTCAGCCAAACAAACAACCCTGGGGTGAAAAGTAGGGCAGATGCTGGATTAAAACCTGCCAAAGATGATCATCATCCTTCTACTCTTCTCATTGTTATTCTTGTCACTGAAAAAAAGGAAAGTTACTGTCGCTGCACCAGTCTTGTGTTGTGGCAAATGAGGCATTGTTTTAAAAAGACAAAACTTTCTTTCCTGGTAGGAGGAATCCTTTTCTCAAATATTTGTCATCTTTTTTTTTGCTCTATATGTTTTTATTGTTTCTGTTCCTGACATCTTATGAACTGTGTGTCTCTATAGGTGTTCAATGCAAAAACAGCTGAACTGATCTGTCACCATCAAGTAGAGATCAACCAGAGTTTCCCCAAGGAGGGGTGAGTGACCTGAACTTCACAATAACACAGTATTTCTAGATGCTATGCTACTAAGTAACCTTTAAATCTACAAGACCAATTTCTCCTGGTACAAGTGGTTTGATAAATTGAATGCAGTTGTCTGCAACACTGTAAATGACACATTTTGTTGATTTTTACATGAGAAAACTAACACAATCCCTCTAACAAATGGACTTTAGGACATGACCCTCTTACTAAATGTTACTGTTAGTTTTTATTTCAGATGCTGTTTAGCATAATTGCAAAAATGACACGATTGCCATTGAAGTTCCCCTCTTATACCTCTTCCATATAGACCATGTTGAACTTTTCGTATTTTTACTCATACTTCATAAATTTTCTTGATAAACAAATCTTTGACAATAGCAGTGGTAACAACAGTACGTTCCTTCTACTCTGTGTTTTTACGAGATGACAAAAGTTAATTTTAGAGTCATTTCTTATCTTTATTCTATGTTATTTGATTATTGTAACATGCCTAGCTTTTATTTTATTGCTCCCAAGTTTGTATGGATGAATCATACTCAGATGCTACTGTTTTATTTGTTTGGCTGGTGAACAACCTGTGGTGTACTCTGTCGTACCTGGGCCACAAACATTCCCAGTTGTGCATTTGCATGACTTATAGATGAAGCAACAACTATTGCACGGTATACAGATACCAGAAAAGTAGTGGGATATCTTGCTGTTAAAAACATTGTATGTAAATGGTCTGCACTTATATAGCGCTTCTCTACCTTCGTGGTACTCAAAGCTCTTTACAATGTTTTCTTACTCACCCATTGACACACACAGTCATACACCAATGGCGACAGAGCTGCCATGCAAGGTGCTGCCTGTCATTGGGACCGACTTCAGGATCAGCGTCTTGCCCAAGGACACTTCAAGTGTGGAGGAGCGAGGGATCAAACCACCAAACTTGCGAGAGAGACATTAAAGACAACCGCTCTGCCACCTGAGCCACAGCTATCTATGTGTAGAACCAGTCTTTAAGTCTTTCATTTAGTTTATCTTTTCATGACATTAATGATGGCTAGGTGTAAACCTGGGATATTTTATCCTTCATGCACATATCCTGTAGCTGCCAGTGATCATTTAAATTATGTTGTGAGGGTAAAACAACAGATGAGCTGCTTGCTGGGGAGCATTTTGGTGACCGGTCAATGTTGAAACCTTTGAGGCATTTTTGCCTCTCACATCGCTTCAGGGTCTCCAGCTGGCAGACATCTCTTACTCAGGTGTCTCCCTGATGCTTCCTGCAGCTGGGTTTATAGTCAGGTGGTTCCACTACATTGCTTCTTGTTTCAACCAGCTCTTGTCTTTTGTTCACCACTTGAGACAAAAACATCCATTTTCTGCTTCTACAGGGAGATCTTTCGGGACTTCCTGGCTTGCGCTGGTGCAAATTTATTGTCTCTCAGGAATTGTTTGAGAGGGACATAAAGCCACAGCAGCCATCTTCAACTGTATTGAGGGTTTCATCTTTCTCATCTTTCTGTCACTAGTTCAGACCAACCAACAACAGCTTTCATCCTTTCACAGATGGTCTTGACCAGAGCTTTTGTGGCTCTCCCCAACCCAGACAACAGCTTCCTTGTTGGGTGCTTATGACGAATTCTTGGTGCTTTACTATAGCAATGGCATAATCCACACAGCCTTCCATACTCTCCCTATCCAGATCTTGGTACCACCAGTGTTTCTGACCAGGTGGTCACTTTACTGTCCAAGTTTCAGCACCAGCATAGACTTCTCCAGCCAGTATCTAAGTAAGATGTTCATCAGAGCAGTATCAGAAAATCCAAACTACCTCTGGATGTAGTTGCTGGCTTAGGCATACATTTCCATTTACAGGATGTTTGAGAAAGACGTTTCACTTCTTAACCTGCCAACTTATACTAGAGTTTAGAGACAATACTGTTGTCTCAACCACAACTTGTTATTTACTACTCCAATAGTAGCAAATTAAGACTACCGTTTAGAACAGATCTTTTGACAGCAGCGATGAAAATCAGGACGCACTTAAACTAGAGAAAGATAGCCAAAAGTTATGATCTGCCAGAAATCCAACTGATTGAAAACCAGAAAATGATTGGTTAGCAACAGGGTCTGTATGTGACAGGCAGACTGGTAGCAGTCGCTGCAGCTGCAACGCACAACATACAGCTACACTGTGATGTAGATGATTTTGTTTGCATCTTTATCATTTTTCTATCATCCAGGATAAAGCAGGTTCTAGGTCTAGTTGTGTGGTCTGTATGTTTAAATGCCTGAATGTGTGTTTCACTCAGCTGGGTGGAGGAGGACCCCAGGGAGATAATGCAATCTGTCTACGAGTGCATGGAGAGGACCTGTGAGAAACTCTGCCAACTCAACATCAACGTCTCCAACATAAAAGGTGGGACACTGATGGTGTGCACACTGATAGCCTGGGTCGAGAGCTTAAACCTCCATCTGGATGAGAGGACAGATGACAGCAACTGGTAGCTACCACTAACAAAGAGGATTAAATTTGGCTTGTGGTTTTAATGACATTTATGTTGGTGTTGTTTTCCAGCGGTGGGTGTGACCAATCAGAGAGAGACAACTCTAGTTTGGGACAAAGAGACCGGCGAGCCGCTCTACAATGCCATCGGTAAGTACATTTATCTGGATGTTTTAGGATGTAAAATGATTCCCTTTGCTACAATCTTTTTGGTTATAAATGAATGAAGTGTCAGATTCACCACTGAGCTGTAACATCTTTAAGTGAGCAAATAACAAGATTGTGTCATCTGGGAAATGTCAGTGCATGTCTTGGTTGCATCCGTTTGTGGTGTCCTATGTCATGACCCAACCCAACCAATCACCATGCAGCAGTGATGCAGCGAGGAAGCTGAGCAATGCAGTCACCACCCACTCAGAATTTCTAACCCACAAGAGCTTCATAGAGTAGTTTATCTGCAAGCTTTTCAAGCTCTTGAATGGAATATAGATGGAATGTGAGTGACGTGTTGGGAGTGGGTTGCCAACTGTTCAGTGTACACAGCAGGACCAGATAAAGGAATGTCCAGTAGGCTAGTCGGAAACAGCAGCACTGTATTGCAATGCTCAGCACCGTCGCCTCTCAAGTGGAAGGTCCTGGGCTTGAATCTTCGGCCTGGGATCTTTCTGTGTGGGGTCTCCGTGTTCTCCCCGTGCAGCATGGGTTCTCTCCAGGTTCTCCAGTTTCCTCCCACAGTCCAGAAACATGTTGAGGTTAATTGGTGATTCTAGATTGTCCATAGGTGTGAATGTGAGTGTTGGTGTCCCCTGCTGTCACCGTGAGTCAGCTGAGATACACTCCAGGCCCCCACAACTCTACAGAGGATGTATAGAAGATGGATGGCAGTGGTGGTGCCAGATGTTGAGTGTGAAGAATAACAAAGTCAGTTTCATTCCATTCCATCCTGTAGTTGGCCTTCTTCAAGCATGTTAATGCTTCATTTTGTCAGTGGGTCGTTTTTCATGGCTCAGATGGGTTCCCACTATCACTGACCAGTAGGGCTGGTCCGAATCGCATTTTCTGTTCTCCGGATATTTGGCCCAGTCAAAGAATAATAGTTGGGAGGGGGTCACGGGTGAGTATTTGTCCGGCGGGGGTGCGTGCGCAATGCGTGCAGGCTCCGACGGGCTGGAAGTGTGCGGGACGCACAGGCAGCATTTGGCTAGTAAGACCAGTTTAGGTGTTTAGGTGGTGGAGGGGGGGAGGAAGGAAGGAAATATTCTGAGATCAAAATTGATATCCTGATTCCATCACAGTGAACGAATAGTCGGCTATTCGGGTCCAGCCCTACTGACTAGATCATTGGGAATGCTGTGACTGACAACCAGTAGAACAGGCGCTTTTGGTTCTTTGTAACTTGTGTCTATTTGATGCTGAGGCAACGAATATCTTCAGCTTTAAACAGACACAAAAATACAAAGATACCTTGTAAGGTAACAGATTTTAAGCAAATGAAAGTAACCCATCATTGAAAAAACAATATCTATATAAAGCTAAGTCTGCTTTGTAGAAGTAGTGCAATAAATGTATTCATTCTTTTTAGTTTGGTTTGCAGCATTACAGACATTTTTTATGAAACTTTTGTGTAAGTCTTCCTGCTCTGCTCTGTGTGTAGTCTGGCTGGATCTGCGTACACAGTCAACAGTGGAGAGGCTCATCAACAAAGCTCCAGGCAGAAACAAGAACCATCTTAAGGTAAGAGATTATGGACAAGAAATCCCAATATGTTTCTATTTTTTCATTCTGTTGGATTCTTTAAAAAATCAGCCATGTGAATGATTCCCATCATTCTTCACAGCACAAGACAGGCCTTCCAATCAGCACCTACTTCAGTGCGGTAAAACTGCGCTGGCTGCTGGACAATGTGGACGGAATCCAAGAGGCAGTACTGAATGAGCGTGCCATGTTCGGCACAGTGGACTCATGGATCATCTGGGTAAGAGCAGTGTAAAAACACAAACTGCATGTATAGATAGATGTAGCAAGTGATGACATAACCCATTGGTTTGGATGGAGCCACACTGAAGCCCAGAGGAGGCCTCTGAAGCTGATTAAAATACATAAGCTAACGTGTACAAAGTCAATAGGCAAATGAAGCCAGCCTGGTTTGAAACCTGCACCTGTGCATACCTTTATATATACAGTTTGTGACGCACCCAGTAAGATTTTTTTGTTATTCTTCCCTCAGTGTTTGACGGGAGGCAGGAACGGAGGAGTCCACTGTACGGATATGTCGAATGCCAGCCGCACCATGCTGTTCAATATTCACACCATGGACTGGGATCCTGAACTCTGCAGGCAAACAAACATATTTATACACAATGAAGCATTTGATGATGATGATTTGCTGCTTTTAACGTGTTTGTTAGCCCGGCAAAGTAATTGATTTCACATCAAAATCGCAGTTTGCAATGCAGTTAGCAAATTCCAAACCTGCAATTTAGGATATATAAGGTTACAACGCTATTGAATAATGAGACTCATGCCGTAATTCAGTTTTATTCAGTTAGAGCAGATTGAGGGTGACGGTGGTTAGCACTGTGGCCTCACAGCTAGAAGGTCCTGGGTTTGAATCTCACCTTGGATCTTTCTGCGTGGAGTCTCCATGTTCTCCCCGTGCAGTGTGGGTTCTCTGCGGGTTCTCCGGCTTCCTCCCACGGTCCAGAAACATGCTGAGGTTAATTGGTGATTCTAAATTGTCCGTAGGTGTGAATGTGAGTGTGCTTGGTTTTCTCTCTATGTGGTGCTTTGATGGATTGGTGCCTTAGTTCAGCTGGGACAAGTTCCAGCCCCCTCATGACCCTACAGAGGATAAAGGAGTTGTTTATGTTGCCCGTTGATCAAAGAATACAGTGTGGCTCATCATACCTGCTGAGGTTCAGCTGACATTAGCCCAACCATCATTTAGTCGTAATTGATTCCTGTCATGCTGTTCCCAGGTACTTTGATATCCCAATGGAAATCCTGCCCAAAGTTCGAAGCTCCTCTGAAATATACGGCTGGATGGTAAGCTCAGATAAACTTGCTGTGTGTGTGGGAAAGTTTTCAAATGCTGTTAGTTTTTTTCTATATTCCTGTCTGTTTTTACAGATGGGCCTGATTCAACCTTTCCTAGTTGTCTTTCAGCTCATTCAAAAACACTACAGAGAGAAATCTTTTTGGTTTCTACTCAATCTCTTTATTGAGATGTGTCAAAGTGTGTCTAATAGAGAAGGCAAAGAGGGAGAAGCGCCCAGCCTTCCACGCTTCCATGTTGCTCATGACTACAAAAAATAAGGAGAGTAAAGTGATGTGAGAGGATGAATAAATAAACAGCATGTAGTAAATACAATAAACTGCAACAAATAACCAATTGATCAGTTACATTAAGTTACAATAGAAAAAGAAGATTGTGGAAAGAAAAAGGAGAGTTCCTCTTTCTTATTCTCCACAGAAAACTCTGCTTAGGAAACTCCCTCAGCATCATTCCTGATGCTGAGGGAGTTTCCTAAGCAGCCATTTCTTTTATTTCTCAAGGATGTATTATTTTCCTCTCACTCCCTTGCTATTACCTCTCTGCTTTGTGTGAGCACAGCCTGCAGTTTAGCAGAAAAAATCCTGAAATTTTGTGACTGTTGGTTGCAGCTGAGTCAGTCATGGCTTCTGTGTTGTGCCAAGCAGCACAACACTTTAGTACCTCCAAACGTCTGTTTAACAATAACGGTTTATTTTTGCTGATTTTTAGATGAGACACAGAAGAAGTTATTTTGATTAAATGTAACAATTTCAAGCTTAGATTTGGCTTTTTTGGCTTTTTTTAAAGAATGATGTAAATGATTAGTTTAGTTTAAAATCAATGTTTCTTTCTGTATTTTTATTTATTTTTTTTTTTTTGCCTTTCAAACCTCCTGGTGGGTTTGGGGGTCAGAGGGTTAACAGAGAAGGCAGCATAGCAATGGTCTGCTTTGAAAAAAAAATGGGAATACTGTTCTAAAAAGAGAATGTAGTTACATCTTGTCCTATGTGTGCATTGGACTGATTGTTCTGTTCAATAGAATTCTATAAAGTCCCTCACTGTGGCCTCTCCCAGATAAATGGCCTGATAAGATGCCGTGGTGGAGTGTGGTGCGATACACAGAGTAGTTTCAGAAGCTGTGCTGCTAGACGAGCCCATATTGAAGCCAATATGAGGTCACAAGACCTGTTATCGTGTGTCTGTTTGTCTGTGCACATATCTTATCTCCTGACCGCAAAATGATCTTTCCTGTGAAATCTTTTTATACAACATGTACCTTGTACTGCAGTTTAGAGGTCAGCTTTGTTTGTTTTCCTCATTTCATGGAGCTTTTACTTCTAAGTGTCTGAGGTATGTTTTGTTGTTTGGAAGCATCTTTCCACAACTCTTCCTAAGTGCAACAACCTTTTTCGAAATGGAAATCATAAGAGGACTGTTTGTGCACCTCATGATTTAATTGAGCAGTATAGCGTAACAGACCTTCATATTGGGTAATAAAAGCACTCTGCCCTGACTCTGATGACTCCTCTTGATGCAGGATGACGCCTGTCATGGGACTTTATTACAATAAGCTGGAAATCTGCACTAATAATGTATTAGTCATGACATTCCGGTTATGATTACTGTAGTCATGCATTTTTTTGATTAACATTGTCAATGTTACAGTCATTGAGTCATTTTATGTCGACGACTGTGACCTGAAGTCATTCTCCAGTCATTGATTAAACCCTATAAACTCCTCTCTGTGTCATAGTTAAATATTTAGAGGTGGTCAGTCATGCTTATTTCACTCAGGCTTCCAACATATAAAACCCATCATGTGGAAATGTTAGCATAGCAACAGATTTCGCCACAGGGGGTCCTAAATATATTGTATTACAATCAGTGGATACACAAATATGTTTTGTTTATTACATACTTTTCTCCAAATAGGTAGTAACAGTTAGATGTTTGATTCATTACACAAGCAACGTGTGCTGTTCGGCCTGCCATTGTTCAAGTGTGACAGTGAACGCCTTCTGACTTCATCCAAAGGTTTTTGATGTGAACACACCAGGCGTCTATTGGTGTTGTGTGGTTTGTGAAGTCCTCAGTTGAGCCATTGCACAACAGACAGCATTTATCTAAAATCTGAAACTGTGTCTTTCTGTTTTGTAACCAGAAATCCGGCTCGCTTGCAGGAATTCCAATTTCAGGGGTAAGGAGTTTTCTTTCCTTTCCATAAATTTGTTACATCTTTTTTTTGGATTTGCTGTTTATGTTTTCTGATATGATCTAATTTCTTGTTTGTAATTGATAAACAGATGTTACAGTTTGACATTTTTTTTTACAAGTTTTTTGTTTAACTGTGAAATGTCAAATGCACAAGTTCACAAATACTCAGTTCATGTTTGTCACAGCTCTGTCAGATCTAATTCATATAGAGTTCTCCTGGTCATGTTTTTTTTTTTTTTTTTTTTTAATTTAATTAATATATTAGATTAGATATCAATTTTAATGTAGTGATATCTGTATTGGTCAGAAAGTGTTGGTGTTGTTGAGGTTCTAGTTTCCAGGATAAGACTGGTTTGTTTGGGTTTATGTTCGGTTATGTCCTAATCATTTTTTCTGACGGTAAGCACGTCCTCCTTTCCTCTATCAGTGTCTTGGTGACCAGTCAGCTGCCCTGGTTGGTCAGATGTGCTTCCAGGAAGGCCAGGCCAAAAACACGTAAGCCATCTGCTGTTTTCTTTATTTTACTTTGTTACAAAGTGCTGTAAGGGTTGGCCCAGTAGCTCAACGGGTTAAGCGGGCGAACCTTAAGCAAGGCCATTTGCTGCAAGCCCTTCCCCCACTCTTCTCCCTACTTTCCTGTCTTCCTCTTTCTTACCATCCTTCTCAAACTATTTCTATTCCTGCCAGCTGAGGTACATCACAAAATGCTGAAAACAGTTTATCCTTTCCCTTTGAACTTTTTTTTTTTTTTAATTTTACTATATTTAAATGGGATGATCAGAAAGTTCCAAGACTGCACCTACAAAAATCAACAGCCGCCGCTGCTTTAAATTCGGCTGCTAGTCAAAGTAGAAGTAGTGGAAGCAGCCTCCTTGTGCATCGATACTGCACTACCAGCGCTTGTGCAATGCTTGTGACACTTCCTTAAAGTCCTGTAATTCAAGTACATCAAGCATCATCTGTGGTGAGTGCTGAATCTCCTAAACTGTGTCAGAAAGTTGACCTGTCAACTTAAATTTTAGAGAAAACAAAAAGTCACAAGGAGCCAGATTCACTCAGTAAGAAATGTGGAGAATTCCAGTTGTGATGTGTCCATAGACACAATTACTGTCCAGCACAGTGGAACATCCGCTGGCTATCGTGTCACAGCTCCACCAAATGTTCTCCCTGATATTTTGGGCAGAGTCATTTACAAATGTCAAATACTGTAAACATTAAAAAAAATAAATAAATCCAAATAGCCTGTATCTTGTTTGAACTTCTTAAGAAGAGTATGAAACACACAAGGATATGTGAATCTACATCATTCTGAAGTACACTAACTAAAAATTACAACATTTGTATTTGCTTGGAATCTGAAATGGTAAGTGGTCTGCACTTATATATTCTACCAAAGCACCTTACAATGTGTTTCTCATTCACCTATTTTCACACACCAATGAATGGCCAAGGACACTTCGACATGTGGGGTGATGGGGGATCAAACTTCCAACCTTGCAATCAGTGGACAACCTGCTCTTCCAATTAGTATATATATATTTTTTTTTTATTTATTCCTATTATTTCTAGGTATGGGACTGGTTGCTTCCTGCTCAGAAATACAGGGACCAAAGTAAGTTATTACTTATAGCTGTTTATTAACTATTCATCACAGTAACTGTTTTATTAAGATGTATTGTTTTTGTTATGTCAACTTTTTTCATACTTTTCTTGTGACTATCAGCCTGTGATGTCAGAACACGGCCTGCTCACCACAGTTGCTTACAAACTGGGAAAAGACGAGCCTGCCTGCTATGCACTCGAGGTTTGGAATAGATTCCATTAGTCTTTCTCATGTTCAACCACATTTTGTTTCTAAATGTGCTTCCATATTACAATAATGTCCTCCACAGTGTTAACTTGTGAGTGACTGATAACTTTGATTGATAACTGATGATTTTGGTTCTGTTGGGTTTCATCGTTCTCCACAGGGTTCAGTGGCCATTGCAGGGGCAGTGGTACGGTGGCTGAAGGACAACATGGGCATCGTGCAGTCTTCTTCAGAGATTGGTACGTGCACATTAACATCTTATGAGAAATCAGTAACTAATTCATAAAATAAGACTATTTAAATTATTTCCTTTTGTCATTTCAAGTAATGATTAAATGATGTGTCTAAGTAACACTCCTTTCTGTCTTTTGTCAACCTCTCCTTTCAGAGAAGCTAGCTGCTGCAGCAGGCACGTCTTACGGCTGCTACTTTGTGCCTGCCTTCTCTGGCCTCTATGCTCCCTATTGGGAGCCCAGCGCAAGAGGGTGAGATAGTAAGACATTAAAACACACCTGAAGTCTAAACAGCAGGTTGACCCTGAGTTGAGGAAAATAAATAGTTCTAGCCACATCACAATGCTTGAGTAATTACAATGAATAGTTAACAAATTGTCCTGATGACAGCATTTGTGCTTCTATATTTGAATTTTATTGCTCTTTGTGTTTTCCAGCATCATCTGTGGGCTCACACAGTTTACCAACAGAAACCACTTGGCCTTTGCTGCTTTGGAGGCCGTCTGCTTCCAGACCAGAGAGGTGAGCGTGGCCCTGTTTAGATGATGTTCGTCCTCCACATGCTGGCTTTATAGAGGTGGACAGCAACAGTTCCTGTTTCAAAGAGCAGCGCGAAGGCACACTGCATGTTCTCTCAGTCCTTAGATTGGAGATATATGGTTTTATTATGCATATTGTATTGCTTATTGGACTCAATATTCTGAAATGTGCCTAGAACTATGTGTGAATGTTTTAGTCTATTATTTTCTCAACCAGCACCAACAAAAAGTAATCCCTTCATAGAAATTAAACTGATAAAATACATTTGAACACCAATTTCAGCAACATGATTTTCTCGGAGCTGGATCGATAGAACTTTACTGGCTGAAACAGTTTTTAGATTTTATCTGCATTTAGTTTGTCAGGTGTTTAAAAACTCTGGTTGAAGTTATATGAATGCTGCATTGTTTGTATCAGATCCTTGATGCGATGAACCAGGACAGCGGCGTCCCTCTGACACAGCTGCAGGTGGATGGAGGCATGACGTCCAACAGGTTACTGATGCAGCTGCAGGCCGACATCCTCTGCATGCCCGTAGGTAAGAGGACTGTCATCACACCCATGTACTCAGAGCCTGAAACAACGTCTCAAAGTCAGTCCGCTTTTCTTTTTGTTTGTTTTGCTTTGTTTTGTTTCATTTCCTGCCCTTTATGCAAAGATGAAGTGTGTTTCCTTGTACAATGTTTAAGTAACATAAGGAATTGAAGCGAAGCAAATTAAGGACATGCAGCTGAATTTAAGGCAGAGTGAAATGTTAAATCCCTTTTTAGAGGGGAAATTCTGAAAAGTATGTCAAAAACATGGAAAAACTAGATATCTCCTCCAGTTCAAACAATAACTCTACGAATAGAAGTGATCAATAGAATGAGGACTTTATACCTTTCTGTCTTCCCTGACTTTCGTCCCAGTTAACTAAAAACACACAAACAAACCTTACCTTCGAAATACAAGAGCAGGACAAGAGGACTTACAGTTTTAGAGGACCGTGTACTTTAGTGTGTACCCATGACCGGGGGTTGAATTGGGATTTGGGATGAGCCCCTGTACATCAAGGCTCATAGACAATTCGACTGCAGACAGTAGCAATGGGGAAAAATGACACTTTTAAAATGAAAAACTGAGTCCGATGTTTCAAATGAAATCTAACCACCTAAACTAATATTTCTGTTTTTCCTTTGGATCTAGATGATGCAATATTTTAAATGAGTTTAAAGTTGACCTTTGTGAGCTTCCAGAGGAACTAATACAACATCTCAAATTACAGGCTTATTGCATTATTTGCATGTAGTTGATGGTTCAGGAAACACTGACAATCTGGTCATACATGAAAAAACGGACCAAACTAAGGAATGTGTGGTAGCAAATAGACTGAGGACAATAAATGCTGTTTTCATTATTGGGATAATTGTCTGTCTCATTCACTCTTCTTTCACTCTCTTAATTGAATGGGTCCATTCTGGCAAAAGTCCCACTGCTGGAAATGTTCCTACATTTAAGCAATAATCCACTCCATATAATCTGTAAAAAAAAAATTAAAAAAAAGATTCTCTGAACTATATTTGGGCTTTTGCTTAAAATAAAAATGTGGGGACCCCCCTGACAGTTCTCTATTTATCCTGAGCGCAAATGCTTTTGCTCCGACTGATTTCACGGTAGAAACTTTATCTGTGCACAAGAGCTCTGTTTGCTGTGGAGTAAAAGTGTTTCAGTTCATAAAGCTGCATTTCATTTAAATACTGTCCCAGTTCTGATGATGATTATAGTGCATAAGTGGAAACTGAATTACATACATTGTACAGTTTTATCTTTTGGATTTTAAGTACTGAGATTTGGTTATACAAAGGCATTGAGCTTAAACTTCTTTTTCTTATTACGCCTGTGTGTCTGTGTTGTATTGGACCAGTGCGTCCCACCATGTCCGAGACCACAGCTCTGGGTGCAGCCATGGCCGCGGGGGCAGCAGAGGGGGTGCGGGTGTGGACCCTGAGCCCTGGTCAGCTCCCACATGTCACATCTGAGAAATATGAACCACAAATCAACTCTGATGGTAAGAAAACATAACCAGCAGTGTTCTACTGATTGGACTGGTTGTGTTTTTTTGGTATGTGACTGTTAAAAAAGTTCCCCAAAATCTACAAAACGTGAAAGACAACATGGAGTTCCTCTTAGTCAAAATGTAGTCAGTGACACCACACCACAAAGGCAGAGAGCAGTGACTGCAGAAGCTGTGAAGTGGAGTGAAAAGGCTTTCAGGTTTTCAGGCTGGACAGTAAACCAACAGCAAAACAGATAAAAGGGTGTAATGTATGCATTTGATGTGCTTTTAGGCCGATTCTTGTATTTTTAATATCCTGTATTATTCATCAACAAGGAGAAAATGAATAACTTGAATAGGTTTTAGTAAAGGCTGGCTGCTGTCATCTTAATACTGGCACTCCTTTGATATAGTACTCAGACTTTAGTTGTGAGCTGTTTGCTGTCTTCCTGTCACAGATACTGTGTTTTGGTTTTTATGTCTGTTCTGTAGTTGATGAACACTGCATGTGAAAACAACCTGCTCAATTTTGACCAAATTTGTAGTCACTGAGTTTTGCTCTGTAGATCAAGCCAAAGGCAAGAGTTCCTTTTTATTTTCATTTACTGCCATCTTGTGGATGCTACTGTCATGACTTACAAAAAACTTTCCCTGCATCCCTGTGACTCATATGTCCTCATTACAGAGAGCGAGTTCCGTTTTGGTCGTTGGAAGAAGGCTGTCCAGAAAGCCATGAACTGGGAGACCACAGAGCCTTGCTGCAATGGCAACGGTATGCAACTGCAGCACCAACTTGTGAACATCTAACTGAGACAGAAAACGATTCCAGTTGTTATTTTATTTGTAAGATACAGTCATTTCTTTTAATGTTTTTGATTAATAAATTTCCCTGAAATCACGAGTGGGAAGCATTGACAGGAGGCTGACTGTGGTCCATCTTGGATGCTGTCATTTTACTGTCAACAGGTTTAGGAAAGAAGATGACCGGCGGTCCCTGGGGGGTGTCTGCCACCCCTCCCCCCACCAGAGTGGACCACTAAGGTCTTACATTTACTACTGCATGCCATGTGTGAAACTTGGAAGAGTTATGACACTAACTTCTTTGTGTTGTGACGAGGTTGAGTTTGCATGGTGGCGTTGGAAAGACATTACTAACATGGTGTGCTTATGGGTTTGACCGACAGATTTTTCTGAACCAATACAGATATTTTAGTGTCAGAAATTTCTTGAAAACATCATCAAAACCATGACTGGATACCAGGTTTCCAATGATGATCGACAATCTCACAATTAACAGTTTTGAAGGATGAGTGATGAAACTTAATCTACTGAATTATGACTTGAAAAGAGTCTGTTGACATAAACCCGAAGCAAACACTTGAGTAAATGCAAACTGGGGGGAATTTCAGTGTCACTGTGGTCAAAGAGGATCCTCAATCAGACCTGCTGTGGATGACATTGAACTCTGTATCTATTCACCCTTAGTGTTTGTGTTGTTTCAATGTGCATGTTACTGTATGAGCAGTTGTTTCCACTTTTTTCTGCTGGCCAGCGGAGGCTGTTGCTCTGCCGTTAGCAGAGCTGCAGTTGTACAAGGTTTCATTCTATTGTCTGGATCACGTGATCATGCTTTGCTGCATTCTGAGAAGCTAAAGTTTAAACTGATCCTGTGGTTCAGTTTAAATTCTTTTTTTCTGCAGTCTAAAGTTCTGTGTAACTGAGCTTTACTTATTACTGAAGTGAAATGTTACCCTGATATACTGTATATCTGTATCTGGTATTACAGAGCAGCAACAAGTGAAGCTGAAAATAATCCAGGGTACCTGCAGATCCCTAAAAAGTCTTCAATGAATTCATGCAAAATTGAAACTCTAACCATCCCTATGAATTACTATTAAGTCTCTTCAATCTATATTTGTAAAATGCCTAAGAGACAGCCGTTAGATTTGTTTCCATTTCGTGCATTTGAATATCGTCGCAGGGTATACAACAGAGCTGAACAATTTATCTAAATATTTCAAACACAATGTGGCCAAGTGCAATACTCAAATTAAGGAGCTTCTATTTTTTGATAAAGGTAATGTGTCACAACATACTACTTCACATCGAGCACTGAAGTGTTACAGAAATGCTGTGGCTTATGAATTCCATTTTTCAGACCTCAGGAAGCCTCTATGTCACGTTATTGTCAGATAAATTCAACAAATTGAGGATATATAAATATATACTAGTTTTGCTAATTGGAGTTTCACTTACCAGCTATAATGGACATAGTTGTAAAATTCATAGTTTTCCTGTCAGATATGTTAACACACCTAATGATTTGATCGCCCTACTCCCTTATTTTGGTACAGCATTGCCACAGCTATTAATGCACCATGCAGCTGATGAATAGCTGTTTTTGCATAACTTAGTTACGTTGCACTGAATTTCAAGGGGGTGTGCCCCACTATTTGAGAAGCACTGCAGTAAACAGCTTCAGGTATATAACTTTAGGAAGCACCTTCGTAACTGCTTTGGCTCTAGAGCTCGTATTCAGCAAGTCTGCTTGGTTCTGTCTGTATTGTGTTTTCTCTCTAAGACTCATCTGTCTTTACCTCATAGATCAGCAGCAGTGATGTAACTGTGGTACCAGACCTTGCTGGGAACATGGATGACTGCTGTGGAATAGCACTGAAGAGGAAACATGCTCACAGTGAGAACGGGCCGGAGGACTGCTCGATGTGACGTTCAGCGTCTGAGATGCTGTGTTCCAAGGTCTTATCATCAACCCCAAGTGCCAGCTAAAATGAAGAATGACACAACCTGTGGGGCTTTTTGAGATTCTTGTTTCTTTTCTGGGGAAACTGATTTTTAAAAGTAAAAACTATAAATCTCCCTTCAACTCACTGAGCTTGTACAGCACAGCACAGGGAAAACCTGGTGCCCATAGTCTGAAGTAAAGAGTTGCACTATTGCACCACATCACTGTAACACAAGGGAATACTATTTACCCATTTGCTCTGTACAAAGTGTTGATGTATTTGTACTTTATTCTTTGAGATCTAAAACCAGCACAAACCTGAGGTTACACACGTAGAGCGAGTGGGACGAATGCAGTTCTATAAAGTGGTTTCTTTTATGTACTTTTAGAAATGGTCTTTGCCCTTTGGGGTAACTTATGTGGACGGAGAAATGCTGTCCATGCAGGTGTAATGAGACTTAAAAGGGACTGTATCGTTTTCCATTGAGCTTAAAAATATTTTTGATTATGTGGAAAGCTCAAATTTGGAGCTCAAACTGAAACCTGACTCTTTGTAGGCTCTCAATAGCACTTTACTATTTATCCTGTGTAGGGGGATTAAATGTTGGAGCCTTGCTGGTTTCTTTAAGAGGAATAGTTATTGTAACCTGTTTTTAATTAAGGGAATTTTCTAAAAACAAGACTAATTTTAATACTTTTTAATATCTGAGCCATCACACACAGTCAACAATGAAAATGAGAACTTTAACTGAGTGAAGATCCCTCAAGTGAAGTTCATTTGTATTATTGAAATGGAATGTGGACATTGTTTTGTCGTGACTGATTTATGATTTACTTAAAGCTGTGTTCAGCTTTGTAATGTCTGTACAAGTTGCCCAAATCCTACTGCCTATTTTCTCTACTTGCTGCTGAGATGCATGCAAGAATTCATCAGCGATGCAGTAATGTATAGATGCTGTAATCAATAGTTAAAATCAGACTTGTACAATTAAACTGAGTACCTAAGCACCTCAGTCTCTCCGTTACTCATTGTAACTGGCATTAAAAAAGTCCTTACAAGGCTTATTATGAACGTAGTATACTTTAATATCAATAGATTCAATATGTTAGTCAGATGCATTAGAGAAAAGTGAGCTTTTTGTTTAGCAGAGGGAATTCAGAGGCCTTCTTCAACATTAAGATTTGCACATTTACAAAATACTTTTACACAACTTGAGAGGAAGACAACTGTGCATCAACACTGTCAGAGGGAGACAGTGCACAGCCCCATGTTCATGTCCAGGAGGTTCATGTTCAGGAAAAGGGCCACTGTGTAAAACACTGAGGAACAGATGTAGTCTGCTAGAAAAAAAATCCTCAGCGAGAGAACTGCCTTTTATCATTTTTTCCTTTGTTGACGTGCTTAAAGATTTTGGACTTTTGCACATTCTTGGACTTCTGGTATCCAAAGCCGCCTCCACCGCCTCGCTTCTGCAGCTTAGCTCCTTTACTGCTGTGGACATCTAGAGAGAAGAGTTCAGTTAAGGAGAAAAACAGTTTCTTCATCTATTCATGGGAATTTTTCCTGTTTGTTTTTAGGAAGTATAATGTTTCTCTTCTGTTGGCACAAGAAAAGGTACAGAAATATGTGCTTCTTGTGTGATCTGTACATGACATAACCTTCATTATTTATTTGGAACCATACGGTTTTCTGTTTTGATGTGGATACCTGCACAATGACAAAACTGTGAAATTGGAATGCAAAGGATACTGAGGTCAACGTATGGAGGAACTTTGAAGCCAAAGGAGAGCGCCACCATGGGGAGGTTGAGAGTGTTGACACTGTAGATCTGTTTGAGGGAGTGGGAGTCGTACGCCCTCACATAGGACTTGTAGGCCTCTTGAGCTGACTTATGGAGATAGTAGTTCTTTTCAATCAGCTTCTCCAGCTAAGGAATGAGAGGCAGAGTTTTAAAATCAGAATGAAGCCACAAATCTGAGTTTAATTTTTACCAATATTCAGGCAAACCGTGCGTGCTGAGGTGTCACTGAGTGTAGGTTTAAATCAATTCCTCACCTGCGACTGGATGTCAGAGATTTTACTCCAGGAAAATTCAAACTCACTCAGTGGGACCTGGAAAACATAAGATCAGTGTAAATACTGGCAAGTGCTAAAGTTACACTCAAACATAGCATGAAAGTCAACTGGAGAAAAGTCTTTCATGCTGGAGGGACATAAAGACTAATTAGCAGTTACCTGTATATGTGACCCTAAATCTTTTTTCAGACACAGGATATGTAACATTGCTGCTTCAGCATTCTGTCATTTAGACTTCAGTTAGTTTTACAAAAGAGGATAAGAGATGTTTGCCCCACATGCAGGACTGGACAAAAGCTCTAGTGACATAATACAAAAAAGTCTAAATAACCAACAATACAGCTTATTTATGACAACAAAAACACTGAAAACTGTCCATTTGTGATGACATTCTAACTACAGCAACCTGAAATGTGTTGATATTGTTAGTTGGCTTGCCATGTTGTGGTTGTTTTATGTTCTATACGTAGTTATGCGAAGCACCCACTCACACAATAATGCCACAACTGGAAGCATGCTAATGTGAAATTATAAAAACTGAGAAATTATTTTAAAAACTTCACAAAAAAAAATCTGACTTTAATCAATAGCTCACACTATTGCAAACAGTAAATCAAAATATCCCACAGTTGTGATGGAGCTGAGGCCTCAACCTAAGTAGAGCCACTGATTCAGCTGCAGCTCATAAACTGTGTGTGACAGCTCATGTGTCTGATATAAAGACAAGTAAAAAGTAAGATCCTTATCAACCAAGTCTCCTCATCAGACATAATGCTGGCACATTCACCTGCTGTCAGATCAACAGAAAAAAAAAAAATCTGCATCTGAAAATGTCTTAAATAACAGCTAGACAGTCTGATATGGTCACCTTGGCCTGTTTGAGGAACCGCAGGAAGCCAAGTTCTTCCGGTCGAAGGATCAGGAGTGCGTGGCCTCTGCCATTGATGCCTCGAGCTGTTCTGCCCACCCTGTGGATGTACTCCTGTAAATGAAAAGTGATGCTCAAAATGGGGTCTATTTGGTGACCAAATTCCAACTCAGTCTCACATACACACAAAAATCCAACATGATAAGTCAACAACACAAATAGCTATCAAAAAATACATTCAAGTATAGCTCTGTTATTTTCTTATAGCTTTGAGACCTTGGGATCATCTGGAGGGTCATACTGGACGATCCAGTCCACCTCAGGTATGTCCAGTCCTCGAGCTGCCACATCCGTACACAGTAGGATGCCTGAGTCTGCATTGCAGAACTGGAAGAAAGTGGTGGTACGTTTGGTCTGCTTCTGCTTGCCCTGTAAGATGAAATACAGCTTTTACAACAGCTGGCTCTGCAGATCGTACTCTATATGACTTTTGGCAGTGGGGCGGGAGGTCTTACATGAATGGCCATGACAGGCAGGTCAATGTAGTTGAGTAGCTCATAGTGGAATTTGACAGACATGCAGGAGGAGAAGAAGACCATCAGCTTCTTCTTGCGGTTCTTCTTCAGGAAGGTGAAGAGCAGCAGGAAGCGCTTTTCTGATGGGCACACCACATAGCCCTGAAACACAGTAGAGATCACTATCAGTTCAGTGTGCTCAGGAACCCGGAGGACAACCGTCATCTGTACAACACTGAGCCCAGAGGCATGTAGCAGACAGTACCTGCTCCAGGCCATCAACTGTGGCATTGTCTTTGTTGTCATCCACCCCAACATAGAGGGGCTCTTTCTTCAGGGAGATGCGAGCCAAGTCCTCCACCTTTCTGGTCTGAGTGGCGGAAAATAGCATAGTCTGTCTCCTCTCTGGAGAGGAGAAGCGAGAGAACAGAATGGGTGAGGGGGCTGAGGGTTTTCACAACAACATACTGTAAAAAAAGGAAAAAAAAATCTACTTTAAAAGGAACTTTTTCCTATTTTACACAAAAATAAGGTTACTTGTCATAAGAAGAACAGTCCCGATTGTATAACAGTTAATAGCTTCTGTGACTCTTCCGGTAACTCTGATGATTATCTTTGCTTTAGTTTCAAGACAATTTCTCCACAAAAAGCAAAACTGGAGACTAAAAAAAAAAGGAGGCATTTAACAAGATATGGTCAAATAGAAAGGCTACCAGCTGTAATAAAGCCGTGGGATCAAGTATATCAGCAGATTAATTGTTTCTGCTCCCTTTTTATTATTAATTAGTCCCTCTTAATTTCTGTTTTCGTAATTACAGTTATCAAAGTGCAATACTGGAGGAGGACTACAATCACAGAGGAGAGGAGAGCTTGGCAACAACAGATACTTACTTGGCAGCAGTTTGATGATCTGCTTCAGCTCCTCCTCGAAGCCCACTTCTAAGATGCGGTCGGCCTCATCAATAATCAGACACTGCAGGTTCTTGAACATGAACCCAGGGGTATTCTGAAGACACAGAAAGCAAGCCATTCATGCTACGATCTCATCAAAGTATTCAAACTGAGTGACAAAAAAAACCAAAAAAAAAACATCATGGATGAAACAATCATTCTGTGCATGTTTCTTCAAAGCACATGTGCCATGAGCCTGCTCAGGATTCCAAGGATACCTGCAGGTGGTCCAGCAGACGGCCAGGCGTGGCCACCAGGATGTTGACACCGTTGGCCAGTTTTTGGGCTTCAGCTGAGCGGTTGCTGCCTCCCATGATCAAACCGTACGTGTGCACATGGTGCGTCATCAGTTCCTTCATTACACCATACGTCTGCATTGCCAACTCACGTGTGGGAGAAAGGATCACTACACCAGTACCTGGGAGTAGGAAAGCAGAACTCAGCGTAAAAAGAAGATTCAAGATTAAGTTTATTGTCCCTGGTGTGGGAATTTTGTCTTTGGCTATTCACTTATGCTGCAGCCAACACAAGCAGACACAAACAGGGAAAATACAGTTAATAGACAGAATAAATAAATACATCAAGTAAACAAGCAGTTTAGATCATCATCACGTGCAGTGGACAGTCAATGAAACTCTGCAGAGAAACAGTAAATAACAGAGGATCTCACCGTTCCTGGGCATGAATTTGAGTTTGTAGATGAGCTCTATAGATGGGATGAGGAAGGCCAAGGTTTTACCACTTCCTGTTTTAGCAGCAGCCAAAACATCCCTGCAGAGAAGGAATGCAAACCCAGTAATCTTCATTCTAGTTTCATAATAATTACAGAGCTTTTGTCTAAACACAACAAAATCTGTGAAATTAAATGAGTACCTAGATTTACAACTACAAAATCATATGGAATCCCATGGTACATCAGTTCTAAACTTACAACCATTGAAGAAGCATCGAACTTACCTTCCCTCCAGGAGGGGGCGGATACTTTTGTGCTGGATCTCTGTCATGTGTTCAAAGCCCATCTCTTTCACTCCTTTCAGCGTGTGCTCACTGACCATGCTTGCAAGAGATGCAAACGATGTGTCCTCAAACGCACCTGAAACAACAGTTGACGCTTCATGAGAAATAGATTGCTCTCTGCAGGCTAACTTTAGAGAAAGTCCAATTTCCTGAAGAAAGCAACATAATGTGACACTAGTCACATCAAACATGTTCTTGAAGCGATTCCTGATGGAGGAAGCAGTCGTGACTTCGTCCAAAGAAAACCACATCAGTCTCCGTTTGCCTTAGCTGACACCCGTTTCATGATGAAAACCCCTCAAAGGGCAACACACATAAGGCCACAGAGGACTACAGAAACCTGCTTTTAGTCTGCTTTCTGCCAGAGCCATCCATCCATCATCTACACACCACTTAATCCTCACTAGGGTCACGGGGGGGCTGGAGTCTATTCTAGCTGACTTAGGGTGAAGGCAGGGGACCCCCTGGACAGGTAGCCAGTCTATCACAGGGCTACACTTAGAGACAGACAACCAAGCACACTCACATTCACACCTACGGATAATTTAGAATCACCAATTAACCTCAACATGTCTTTGGACTGTGGGAGGAAGCCGGAGAACCCGGAGAGAACCCATGCTGCACAGGGAGAACATGAAGACTCCAAGCAGAAAGATCCCGGGTGTCCTCACCGGGACGCCAACCAGCAACCTTCTAGCTGTGCAGCAACGATGCTAACCACCGTCTCTGGAATTCATTACCATCCCAACTCAGAAACATCGATTCACTCCCCCAATTCAAATCACAAGTTAAACCTCATCTGATTAGGACTGCCTACTCCACCTGAAGCCTATTGTTCAGTTTAATTTAGTGATTTTACGTATTTTTAATGTTGTTTCTTTTAATCGATTTATGTAATGGGGTCAGTGCGCAACGTTCAATTCTGGAGGAGATTTCCTGATTTGGTACACATGTAATTCAAACATTTACAATCTAAAGTCTTTGATATTGTTATACTCACACTAGCTAATTACATACATAACAATAATACCTAATAATCATGAAATTCTTTGCACCATGTGTGCATATAATAACTTTTCTATCAATAGCATGCATTTCTGCTGCTTATCCGGTGCAGTCTGACAAAGCCCAGGTGGAGTTCACAGGGCCGTAACAATGTTAATAACTATTTGCTTAAGTGCTGTATGTATGAGTGATGCATGCCAGCAATCGGGAGTGAAGTTCAAAAAAGATCCTTACAAGTAGTAATACTGCTAAAGGTCCTGATCTACAATATGCAGACAATCCTGTCTCAATACCTGTTAATCCAGACGGCAATTCAGGTTGATCTTCATCCTCATCATCATCATCATCTCCCTCTCTGGCTTCATCATCTTCGGCAGCTTCCTCTGGTTTGTCAGTGGCCTGTTCTGCTGCCACTACCGCCTCCTCATCCTCGTCCTCTTCTTCATCGTTATCACCGTCTGCTTCTTTCACAGTTTTGCTCTTCTTCTCAGCTAAAATGAAAATTAGAGTCATGACACCTACCTATGATAGTTTTAACTGAATAAACTGTACTTTGTAATTTCAAGTGGACAGACTTTTCTGGCCGTTACCTGGGGGTTCACCAATCTCAGTTAGCTTCCTTTTCTTCTTTTTCTTCTTTTTCAAAGGAGCTCCCTCTGTGGGGCTCCCTTCCACTGGTCCCTCAACCTGTTCCGTCTGTTTCTTCTTGGGCTCTCTGTCCATCATAGCAGCAGTGACAGGTTCGTCACAACAATCCTCTTTCAGTCCATTTGAGTTTACTGTCAGATCCACTGCAATAAAACAAACCATTACATCATCAGCCAGATGATTAGGAGCTGGGACACACCAAACAACACAAGTGAGTACAGCCCTTAGAAATATCAGCTATGTGTCAAATTATTTAAAATGGTATTGCAATAATTGCATTTTTTCTAAGTTGAACAGTAAGGTGAACAACCAAATAAGAGATATTTTAGAAAAAGATGATACTGAAAATACAGGCTGCAGAGTCAAATCTCAATGCAGCAAAAGTAAATATACACAAGTGAGAAAACCTATGATCACTGAAACACACATGTGACAGGCCAACTAAAAAACCTGACTGTGGACTTTACAAAGATAGAAAATGATACAGACAGATTGATGACTAACTAAAACAGTTGCAGCCATATTCAGGAGGTGCATAAATAAGCCACAGGGAATACATAGTCATGTCAATGAAGCACAGAAGTGGGAAGACTGATCTGGCCGAGGATGTCTCCTGACTTGAATCCAATAGAACACCTTTGATTTTGTTTACAGCGAAAAGTAGAGCAAAGCAAATTTTGAGGAAAGACCAGATGGAACTACAATGTCTCTGAATAGACATTTCTCCAGAAATTTGTTGGGGACAATCCAGTCGGTCATCAAAACCAAGGGGGTCATTTTAAGTAATGAAAAAGCAAAATACTTGAATCTTAGTAGTAAAAGGCAAACTAGCTTTTGCAGCAATGAGTTTCTACTGTGGGGCCTGCATTTTTAATAAAGAAAATATCAAGGGTTAGCTTTAAATAGACATAAGAACAAATACCCTGCAGTTCATTCGACATTTAAGGAAAAGTGCACATACTTCTGTTTCAGTGCTGTACATAATGACAGTCTCTATTACATTAAACATCTGAATTCTGACGATAAACACAATCTTAAAAGAAAACTCTGGAAACCTGAATGTGTTCAAGTCCTAGCTAGGTAGCTAGCTATCTTGTACATCATCATAACTTGTGCCAAGCTGTGGTGAGACACACAGACAAAACCGCAAAAGTTATACATTGAGATCATTAAGAAGTTGTCCTGGATGCAGACGGCAACCTACGGCCAGAGTTTTTGATTTGATATAATATCATGAGGAGCTAACACTACTAGCCTAGCAGGGAAGTTCCGACACCAATGAAACAAACAGCACCAGAGCAGGTTCCGTTAACAGCAGAGCACATACCGGCCTCCTCGTCTCTGGTCCTTGTCTTCAGCAACTTTCGCTCTTTGTTCTTGTCGTTCCTTTTCTGAATTTTCTTGCGGAGGAGCTTCATCTGTAGGTCCGCCATGGTTACGGCGTATAGCACACGTGTGTATGCGTGAGTTGCTCAGGACCCTTCGGGATAGCAAGCTGCTTTGCCTGAGTGAAAATACAAAGGACCCCGCACCTTGTGCAAGCAAGCAAGATGCCTTGAGGAAAAGATTTTTGGACCACTACAAAAACTGTATAAGAATCTTTATTATTAGAGTGAATACATATAAATAACAGAAACTAGCATAAAATGTATGTGGGGCATGGCGGCTTGGTAGGGTCGCCTCACAGCGAGAAGCTCCCCGGTTCGGGTCCCGGTCTGGTTTAGTTCATTGTTTTTTATTTATTTATTGTTTTATTTTATTTGTTTCTTTTATTTCATTTTTTGTTTACTTTATGTAGTTGTTTATTTAGTTTATATTATTTAATTGCTTATGTTTTTCATTTTTGTTTATTTTATTTACTTGTTTATTTCATTTTTGTTTATTTCATTTTTGTTTATTTTATTTAGTTGTTTGCTTTATTTAATTGTTGTTTTATTTATTTCATTTTTCAATTAGAAGAGCGTTATATATACACGTTGACTAAATAATGGATCGTTAATGACAGTTTTGAAGTAACTTTCCGAACACTCGACATATTTAAGAACACTGAACAGTTTCTGGCTGTACCAACTAATCTTTCCACTCTCTCTCCACCGAGCATCCTGTTCCTGAGAGTATTGGGAGCATTTCAGTGCAGCTGCGCCTCCCTCTGGCTGCTGTTCTTTTCTGCCCTTGCCAACACGGAAACACAGACACAGTCTCACAGCCTCAGAAAAACAAGAGCCAGTTTTTCCATCTGCTGTGCTTGCTCTCTCTTAAGGATCTGGTGGTTCTGTTTTTATTTTAGTTTTAGTTTCAATTGCTACCAACAACAGCTGTTTCTGTACAAATATAATCATTACCTGAGCCCACACTCTTACCTTCATGCCAACAGAACAAACAAAAAACAACATCCTTTTGGAACTGTCATATGTTTAAAAGTTTTTGGTTTCTTTTCTGGCATTGTTTTGACCCCTAAATAATATCAAAAAAGGTATCAGGGAGATGTTGATTCAGTCAAACCCTTGTCTCATAGGCAGACTATCTCTGACACAGCACTGTCTAGAGAGGTCTGGCTGCACCCCATGATCATTCTGTTCTAAAGGGAAAAAAAGTTCCTGCTTGTTTTGCATTTCTTTGAACCAATCACAACCATCTTGCGCATGGCTACGAACAGGGTGCAGTAACAGTCCTCAACCTCAAAATAGTGAAAGGCATATTGTTTTGATTTAACATTTGCTGGCAAAGAGATGAGCACTGTTATTAAAATGGCTAATTCACTGAGAAAAAAAACAGCAGAACTGCTTTAGTGCACAATGCAAACCTTTGACACAACCTGAAATGTTCAGTGTGTACATTGCTGCCTGGAGATTGTTGTCGTTTCCCGTAGTGAAAGTGATTGTAAAAACAGTAACACATAGATCGTGAAAGGGGAGGAGATATCAGGCTTATACCTGCAGTCTGCATCTAGTGAGTCAGACTAGTCAAACCCCAACAGGGAATATACTAGTTGGCCTTGGAAGGTGGCTTGTGTCTGTGGCATCAGGCGGCCAGCCACCAGAGCTTGAAACCAGCATCATCAGCAGAGATTGGCAGCTAAAAATGAAGGCAGGCAGACTAATGCTGCAAAAGGAACTAGCTGGTGGCTAAATGACTCAGGAGCACTGATGCATTGTTGTGCTTCATTTCTGTTTGAAACAATCAGTTCAGCAGACTGTCACTGTTTCTTATGTAAATTAAAGCTGAGTGTCCTTTCTGTTTATTCGCATACACTGATTACTTCTCTGCCCTAACCCATCATACATATTTGTAGAGGAGGCTTCTCCTTTGTCAGCCACTAAACAACAACAGCAAAGTTCTACAACAACGTAAATGTTGGAAACTGTCTTGTCTATGCACAGACTACATTTCTCCAGAGAATGATGTAAGCAGGGCTTCAGTAAAACGTCTTCCCCCTGGACTGAACTGCTGGGAGGCAAAAATGGACTGCAGGGCCTTTTTTACTTCACCTCCTCCATTTCTTTGCACTGTTTTTCAGAAATATTACATGGCCTCAAAATTTTGAGCCAGGAGATGGCAGCATACATACAGTTTCGATGTGGAAGAAAATCATTCTCTTGGAGAACTGAAGGTGGTCCCAAAATAGGAGGGGAGTGAGGCAAGAGGGACTAGGGGAAAAAATTAGAAAAGAGCAGAGAGAATGGACAGTATGTTTGGCTCTGCCATGCTGTTGCACTGGATAAAAAATACTTCTATTCAGTGTTCAGAAAGTAAGACCTCTTACTGTTCTTCTGTACTCTCTTTCTTCTCACATTGCTTCCATTTCTCACCATCTCGCCCTCTCAGTCTCTGTCTGTTTTCAGTGAGAGAGATTAGGTTTTCCAGCAAACCTGCAGACAGATGTGGAAACTGCTGCTTCTCTCACCACATGAGGAATCTGGATAGATCAACGTGGAGCCAGACGGCAGCCGCATGCCACCTTGACCAGCACTAAGTTGTCCACGTAAGTAATCTACATGGCTATGGGCTGACACCCTTTTTTTCAAACTAACGTCTCTTCTATATATACAAAAGTCAAGTGTGCTATTGATATCTCTTACTTACAAACTGGAAATGAAGGCTTTTGCACTTTGACATCCATTCCTTAAGTGGTAGCTCCAAGCTGACTTTAATGTTCAGTGACAGCAAGAGATTTGGTGTGTCAAATTATTCAGGTTATCTGGTTATAAGGAAAAAGCTGCAGACAAACCAACAGACAGCTGAGTCATGATGTAACCTGTCAGCATGAACAGTATTGTTAACCCATTTCCTTGAACCACAGTGCATATACTACTCTAACTATATTTCTTAACATGTTAACTAAATGCCTGTATCTTTTAAAGGGTCGATTCACCCAAATCACTGTGTGTGTACATGTCAAAGAATTTAAGATCCTCAGTGGAAAAATAAACACTGATCAGCCACAACACTAAAACCACAAACAGATGAAGTGAATAACTTCGATCTTTTCATTACAATGTCACTTGTTAAGGGCTTAAATATTTTAGGCAGTAAGTACATTCAATTCATTGCGGCTTGCTGTACGTGGGGCTGCATAGCTACAGACCAGTCAGTGTCCAGGTGGATCCCTGCTTAACGCTGAGAGAGCCAACAATAGACACATGACATCCACTGAGCCACAGACCAATCGAAATAGGTGGTCTGGCTGATTAATCACGTCTTCTTGTAACTCATGTGGTCAGCCGGGTGTGTCATTTACCTGGCAAGAAGATGATAGTCAGATGTACTATGGGAAAAAGGGAAGCCACATGATGCAGGATGTTCTGGACAATGTTGTGCTGGGAAATTTTGGGTCCCACATTCATGTCAGTGTTAAGCTGACACATAGTACTGACCAAAACACTGTTACTGACAGCATACACAGATCATATTAGGCAGCTGGTTTTAGTGTTCTGGCTGGTTGATGTGTACACAAAATAGCTTAAAAAGTTTTCAGCTCCAAAGCCATATTTAGCAAGATCTGTGGCAGTCAGATTTTTTTTATGTACAAATAGATAACTTCTGTGTGACAAAACTATATTATTACAACGCAGAATCAAAATTTAGTTGCATTTTGAATTTGAGTGAAGCAAAACTTCTTCTGCAGGTGTTGATTTAATCTCTAACGCTACTCTCTGTGGGAGAATACGCTTGAGTGGATGTTATGTGCTACGTGTGTCCCATCATGCCTTAGCTAAGTCGTTTTGTATGGTGAGTTATTCTTGCCACTTTTCTCCCTACAAAATGCAAACAAGCATAAACGTGTGCATTTAAACAGGTGGATGAAAGCACGCCTTTTGTGTATTTCTACATAATTGCATCAGTAGATGTTTTATAAGTGGTCAACATGGACAGCATAAAGGCATGTCAGAACTCATTGGTCAAATGAGCACATGATGTAGCCCCCTTCGTCACAAGAATAATATGAACCATTTAAGGATAAATAGTATTGTTAGAAGGTCTATGTTTCATAACACTTGGGATAGAAGAGGGAAAAAAAGAATGAATATTTAGGTATTTAGAGTGAAATCACTTCACTTTTGCCTGTGCAGCTGTGTGTGGTAGTGCACCTGCTGAGAGAGCAGAAGTAAGGCCAGATGCATTGAAAAGAGATGAAACACAGGAGGAAGACATGAACTGTAGCAGAGCAGCTGAGAGGGGGATTAGGGTGGGTGCCTGCAGTGGAGCATGATGTCAGAAGAATGCATTGAACCTCTCCTTTAAAAAGCTTAAAGCGTGTTTAGCACTGGCCTCTTTGCATTCTTTCCCACACACAAACCAACATTTTTACCCTATTTAACTCACTTTTTCTCTCAGCTTCTGCCTGTAGTGTGACACACTTGCACGCAGACGACTTCGGCTTCCATAAACACAAAAGATCAGAGCCAGAAAGGTTTTGACAATGTGACGCAAAACAACATTATTAACCATTTTTATTTAACCGACATATACATGACATATTTCTGTGATATTACAGCACAAAAATGTTTCATTTAAAAAAATGACATAAATGCATACAAAATTAGTAACGTCGTTATTTAAGTACCGTGGAATGTGTTTTTATTGGTCGATTTTCAGCTTTGTTTAGCCCTCCCTCCCAGCATCCGGTCCTGCAGCTGCAGCCTGTTGCAGTGATTACAGAGAAGAAGACGGAGGAAAGGAAAGCAAAAGACAGTGAGAAAGAGGAGGGAAAAAGGAGTGGTAAGGAGAGCAAGGACAGACGAATGAAAACAGAAGGAAAACGACTGATCTAATGTGTGGGACAGCCAGACGCTGGGAACAGCTGGAAAGACTATGACTAATATTAGCAGTGAGGTAAGATGTTGGAGGATGGAGAGGGCAGGTTGTGTGTACAGAGGGCAGTTGCTACTGTAAACCAACTACACTCAAGTCACATTTATTTATAGCAGCATAGACGTGATGCCAGAAATCCGACTTTATTGGCAAATTGTGGTTCAACTTATGTCACAGTGAATCACAGACCCAAGCACAGACAGGAACCACAGCAGACCAGATTTAAGTAAGAAGAAGTTTAAGAATTATCACAGACAGAATGTGCAGGGAATGAAGTAGGGGAACGATGACTGGGAAAGGGATCAGGCTTAGTGGAGGGCTGAATGAATACCCAGCTGAGAGTAGGGCTGAGGCATAGGTGTCAAACTCAGATCCACGGGCCAAATCTGGCCTGCAGTGTAATTATATTTGGCCCGCAAGATAATATCAAGTCTCTTAGAGCTGGCCTGCCGGTATATAGCGCATGCACCACTAATACTACACATCCCAGAATGCTCTGCTGGTGTGTTGGCCCATCAATGAAGACCCACAAGTGTCCCTGATGCGTAAAACCAGCCACTGAGCTGATGTGCATTTATCATCCAACATAGAGTCAGAGGTCCCACTCAGACTCACTTGGTGATCAGAGAGTAGGTGCAGCAGGAACATACTGAGCTGGTGAGCCAGCCTATTACAGCAGCTAACGCAGTAGTAGGGCTGTGAGATTAATGAATTTTTAATTACAATCATGATTTTAGCTGGACTGCAAGGTGGATTGGTGGTTAGCACCATTGCCTCGCAGCAAGAAGATCGCTGGTTCGTGTCCCCTTGAGGACACCTGGGATCTTTCTGCGTGGAGTCTCTGTGTTCTCTCCGGGTTCTCTGGTTTCCTCCCACACAGCCTAAAAAGCGTGTTGAGGTTAATTGGTAATTCTTAATTGTCTGTAGGTGTGAATGTGAGTTTGCTTGGTTGTCTATCTCTCTGCATAACCCTGTGATAGACTGGTTACCTGTCCAGCTGAACCACCCTGAGTCAGCTGGGATAGACTCCAGCCCCCCACAATCCTACAGCGGATAAAGCAGTGTCCAGTTGATGGATGGAGAGCTACTGGGCAATAGTCATTTAAGCAGGCTACAGAGGCATTTTTTGGTACAGAAAAAATAGTGGCTCTCTTCAGGCATGTGGGGTCTACAGACTGACCAAGAGAATGTTGAATAGTGTTGTGAACACTGTAGCAAGTTGGTCGGTGCAGACTTTAGCACTGTTCCTGGAATAACATCTGAACCGGCTGCCTTCCTGACCTCAGGGTCTTCCTGACGTCGTGCTCTGAAACGGTGAGTGCATACTCTGCTCCAGCTGTGAATGACCTATTAGATAAGTTGGTTAGCATGCTAATGCTAGCACTATGTTTTAGCTTAAAGCATTCATGTCATTAGCCAGAGTAGTGCCTCCCCATGACTGGGTCTCTCTTCCCGTAGTCTGGGATCCCCTTCAGTCATGTTGTTGAAAGTGTAAATCCACTTTGTCCCTGTACCTCCACTTAGAACCCTTCACTGCTCATCTCAGCCTGTACAATGTCACCTTGAAGGCCCATGTTGTAAGCAGTGTAGCAAGTGTTCAGAGCGGCACAAATACATTTTTTGATCCATGGCCTGTGATTCGGAAAAATATGATCCATCACCATAGGAGCAACATCATCGACCAGGATCGCTATGAAGCTTGTAATTGTTTCCGTAAACTCGTTCACATGGCCAGAGCTAGATTGGAAGATGTCCCATTCGATGTCACTCAGAGCTTCCTGCAGCGCCATACCTGCTGCATCACAGCACCTTCCTCCAGTGCCATTCTTTGTTCATACCTTGGCATAAGGAGAATGGCAGCTTTCATCACTTTCCTAAGGTTCGCTTTATTAGAATCCCCAGCCACTGATGAGGGCTGTGTCTGGGTTTATGTTTTGGTGCCGACACAGCACGTCTTGTAACTCCGATATTGCAGTATTGGTGTCGGCTTGTGGTGGGATGTAAACTGCTGTAACAATGACTGAGGTGAATTCCCAGGGTAGATGGAATGGACGGCACAAGATGGTTAGATGTTCCAAATCTAATGAGCAAGAATGGGAGAGTGTTCTGGTGTTTTGGCGGTTACCCCAGCTGTTGTTGATCATGAAACAGATTCCACAACCTTTTCAGACTCCTCTGTCCAATCCTCACAGAACACAGAGAAAGATTCAGATGGCTGCATGGCCTGGGCCGGCACCAGAGGACTGAGCCATGTCTCAGTCAGACAGATGATGTTGCAGTTCCTCACATCCTGCTGGTGTCTGATCTGACTCCTGAGATCATCCAACCTTTTTTCTAGGGACTGGACATTAGCAAGAAGGAGGCTGTTGTTGCTTTTTCTCAGCGTGACACGGGATCTCAGCTGGCCATTTGTGATCTTCATAAGAAATGCTAGAAAATTTGTTTGTAACAAGCCTACCAATGCCTAGAAGTGTGCTACAGTCATATGGTTTTCTTCCTGAAGAAAAATGGCAGTACAAAAGTGAAAATTATAACAAAAAAGAAGACATAAACACAGCCTTCGCAAAACAGTCATAAAAGCATCTGGACAGGGCTGCACCAGCTTGGAAATTCAGTATCCAGTTCTACATCAATTGCCAAAGCTGTAGGTTTTTCATCCTTCACAGTGGTTATTCTAAATTGTGTTATTCTACATACAGTGTTCATGTTCCTTTTTTTTTATCCCAGGGAATGAATGATTGAAAACACCTGTTTGTCACAAAAAACAAATCAGGCATTTTGTCTTTTTCATAAATTTATTATAGGTCTTCTGGAAATATGTGAAAATCTGCTGAGTCAAAAATATACATAAAACAATTTGAATGATCTGTTCTTGGTGCTAGTAATCAAATTTTGTTAATGGCATGGCGTCTTAACTTCTTGTGAGTGATTACAATTGATTACAGCTGCTGGCTTCTCTGAGCCAATTTTAATAAGGGCCATTTCATCCACTCAGCCACAAATGGTGCCGTGAGAAAGTCTAATGAGCTTTTCATAGATCTGAGAAACAATCATTGACTTGAACATGTCAGAAAGTCCCTTGGAGCCTTTTCAAAGCAGCTACAGATCCCAAGATCATCTGTGCAAACAATTGTTTGTAAGTATAAAGTGCATGGCACATTTAAGTTGTGTTGCTGCCACAATCAGGAAAAGTATCACCTGCTGATGCAAGAAACAATTGGTCAGGATGGTCAGAGTGAATTAAAAAACACAGTCAAGCATGTTTTATCACTATAAGCTGAGAAGCTGATGTGTAAGAATGACTGAAGTTTGCGGTTGATCATATGGACAAAGAAAAGGCCTTCTGGAGGAAAGTTCTGTGGCTAGATGAAAGTAAAATGGAGGTATGTGGTCACAATGACTAGAAATATGTTAGGAGAGAAGGTAAGGCCTTTAACCCCAAGAAGACCAAACCTATACCATCAAGCATGGTGGTGGTAGGATCATGCTCTGGGGCTTTTTTGGTGCCAGTGGAGCTAGAGCTTTACTCAAAGTAAATGGAATAATGACGAAGAAGGATTACCTCCACATTCTTCAGGAAAATCTAAAATCATCAGCCAGGCCTGTGTGTTGGACACAGCTGGGTGTTCCAACAACACAATGACCCTAAATGCACATCAAAAATGGTAAAGAAATGGCTAAATCAGGCTAGAATAAAATTTTTAGATTGCCTGGCCTTAAAGTCCTGACTTAGTCCCCATCAAGAACCAGTGGACTCCGCTTGAGAAACAAGTCTGTATCAACAAGCCAACAAATTTAGTTGAACTGGACCAATTTTGTCTACCCCATAGATGTTGTCATAGTTCCAAGTCACCTTATGACCTATAATACATGCCTGCTTGTTTTTTGTGCAAAGGCACATGTGCTTCAATCATTCCTCCCTGGTTATAGGAATCAATGAAAACTCAAGACTGTCATGAGATGCATGGTCTTCACTAGTGTATGTTAACTCATGTTTACAACTATAAATGCAAACTGAGTCACTGAGTAAATTCTACATTACACGTCCATCACAAAACAAGGTTGGGTATACGTGGCTATGCATTTTAAATGCAATTTTTTATAAGCATTTTGGACAGTTTTTGGTCACTGAAAATGAACCTTTTTAAAAAGGGCAATTTTAAGCAATTGCAGACTTGGCCAAAAGAGTGCTGTTGCTAACATTGCTACCAGGACCTTTTGCACACAAGCTAACACACGTCATAACTTTTTTTGGCTTTCAAGTCAGCTTGCTGGTTTGGCTTGCTCTTGGCAATGCTTTCCTTGTGTTTTTGTGCTTTTATGTGAATCAAGTTTGTTTGTTTGTTTGTTTGTTTGTTTGTTTGTTTGTTTGTTTGTTTGGGAACAGAGTGGGGAAATTGCTGTTTAAAAATTACCCATTGGCCTTAGTGACCAGTGTCCTGCTGGAAACTTGAGGCACAGCCATATTTGTAACAGGTAAACAATGGCTTCAGGTTGATGTAGTTGAACTAGCCTTTGATGAATTGATCAAACCCATCTGACCTTTATTTAAAGGGGTTAACATGATCACTGCCATTAAACTGCTTTAGTTTGATTGCTGACCGAGAAATACGGCAGAATCTTCTTTATTGTGTATGTCGAAATTTTTCAAATGTTTCTAAATCCTGAAATTTTATGATTGCTTGCACATATACATGAAATGATGTTTGGATTCTGCTTTTTTAAAATGAATTCAATCCCTAAATCTGTCACTTCAAAACTTAGCATTAGTTCACACGTCAGGAAGAGACGCAAAGATCATCTACAAAAACAATAACATCAAGCAATGAAAAGAGATCAGACAGTTTTGCTGATACTACTTACATTTAATGTAGAAAAACTAACACTTGGTGAATTTAAAATGGCAATTTAAACACTGACTGCAAATACCTAAAATATAGTCGTACTTAAATGCATTACATAGCTCTTTTTTCCCAGACATGTTTTCAGATGATGAAGCAGACTTGGTTTAACATTAATATTGGAAAGTTCTCTCTTTCAAAGACAAAGAAAAAGTGGGAAAAGAGTCACTGTGGAAGTCAAGACTGCAATTCATATCACTTTTCTATTGTTCCTGACTGGGGAAATAAAGAGGCCAGTGTTTCACTATTCCTGAACATTTATTGTGGCTGGCCACTGCCTTTCTCACCACAGCACCGCGTGGCACAGGAACTTTTATAAGCAGCCATACAGCATTCACAGTAGCCTGGGGCCTGGAAAGGACCTCTCCCTTGTAAAATTTGAGAGCAAGAAATAAGTGGCTTAATTATGCGAGGGAGAGAGAAAGCGAGAGCCAGGGCTGGATTTGACATAAAGAGCTGGATACAGCTGACTGTTGGTCTGAAGTTGGCCTCCACATGTTGTGAAAACATAGATGCAAAGCAGCTACCAAAAAACACTGAATGAATATGAGAGTTCCTTTGTGTGTCACATGCTGAAATGAGTCATAAGGGGTGAGTTAGTCTCTGATGCTGCTGTTCTGTGGTCTTTCCTGAGACTTTGTCTCAAAATGTAGATTCTCTGTTTGCACAGCTGTCTGTCTATGTACCAGTAACACTTATATTCACATGCTCACTTTATTTCTCCTGTCATTTTTTTTGTTGCAGGTTTGTCAATCACTCTACATTCAGCTCACTCCACTTGGTGAAGATGTAGTCTGTTTAATCTCTATGGAGATGTCTCCAAACACTTTTTCCTCTACCTTGCTGCCATGGTCACTGTGCTTGCTGTCCCTACTGACTCCCTCAAGCCACACAGCAAGCTCTGTCCCAGCATATAAAGCGTCTTTGCCAATCAATACCACCTTGTTGTTCGACAGTGGCACTCCAGGCTACAACCTACGTAACTGTAGCTGCTCTACACCCATCCGAGACTGTGATGAGGCTCTGGCCAACTCGCTGTGCAGATGCCACACAGTTCTGCGCTCCTCCCTGTCCCCTGCTCAACTCACAGAACATGGACAACTCACTGTCTGGGTAAAGGAACTCTGGGTCCTGGAAGAGCTGCTGAACAGTAGCATGGTTGGCCATTTATGGTTATCTTTTTGTGGAATAAAACCACTTAACAGTCAGTTTTTGGCTCTGCTGGGTCTACAGACACTCAGGATACACAGTGCAGCACCAGAAGCTTCCTATCCCAACCAGGAAATTATAGTCACTCCCCCAGCAGGGGCTGCAGCAGATCTAGAGGCCCACTCCTTTGACTTCTCCTCCTCCTTTCACATGACCTTTCTAGATGTAGCAGTGCTCAATGGGCTTTCTGCTCTGAAGGCTTATAGTGTGGCAGGACCACTTGCCCCTGCCTTCTCCCAGCACTTCCCCCATTTGGCCTTGCCCTACTCTCTGTTGTGCTCTACTGCTTCTGACCCTGTAGACCCCAGTGAGCAAACTGCAGAGCCTCTTCAGGACTTGCTCATTACATTTGTGTACTAACAGCTACTCATTTTAAGACTAGGTCAAGACCTAGGTCTGTTATTCAGTACAAGTAACAAAAATGTGCAGGAATTATATTTTTGTTTTCCTTTGCAAAGGAAAAGTTGCACATCTTTGTCTGTGGAATATATTGCATTTCTTATGACTGGATGCTCTGCTGTCATTCTGGCCTAAATATGGAATTGGCCAGTGGGTCAGAAGAGGCTGACATATTTCTCTACCTGATGCATTATCTTCCAGGAAGCTATTGATTTTTGTGTTTTACATGTGTGCTACCTTCTTGCTGCTGTGTTTCTATCCCTGAGAGGAATAGTTCTAAAAAAAAAAAAAAAAAAAAGCATCTGCACTTATAATGTAGGCTGACACAAGGTTTTGGAATGTTTGCACCAGGTACAGATTCTTAATATTTTGGGTATCATTCCATGACATATGCAATGCTGATTTGTTTACCAGGGAGCTTTAACAACTCTGATCCTCAGATGCAGTTAGAGTCACGCTTTGCTTGTTAACTTTCTGGAACTGCTGCATATACAGGCTTTGACACCATGGTCCCAAGGTGTATTTACAGACATAAAACATTATCCCATATTATTGTGACAGTTGACAGTGACAGATGAGGGCTATACATGCACATTCATATCCTGATGACAAATGTTTGTTGCACTTGAGGCACCCAATAATTTAATGTAATGAGAAAAAATTATAGAGAGTAAAAGTCAGAACTGATGGCTTCTTAAAATGATTACATTTCCAATCCAGTACCTAGTCCATTATAGATCAGGTAGAAGCCATTAATTACCAGTTGTGGTTTGCTAGCTTGTCAAAAAAAAAGTCCCTTTATCTGATTGTAAAGAATGCACTTCCAAATATTCATTATCAACTGCGTATTGAGCTCCTAATTAGCTACCATATAAAGAATTTGTAAATCATTTAGTGCAATTAATGAGGCCTTTCGGGAACCCTGTATACCCTGTATAATGGGTGCCTTATAAGAAAATTACCAGCCAAACATATTTTAATAACCTGGCATCCCAAAACATTTCATTGGTAATGATTTCCAAAAACAAAACATTAGCAAATGATTTATTCATCAGAAATAAAATCACAATTACAAGTGCTTTATAAAGGGTGCTTTATTAGAAAGTGATACCCATATATTTTTGAGACATAAATGACTTTTTGGAAAAGTAGCTTACATACAGTAAAAGTGAACAGTAAATAGGATGAGATGTTATCATGACTCACTATTGGCACACTCCAACTGTTGCTTCAGTTTCTCAAAGTGCTTACATGGAGTACTCCTCAAATCAATAAGTGACCGTTACTCTTTATGGATAATGGCCTGAAAATATTTGTCCCCTGTGAATTGTCTCCTCAACTTACATTTGATCCAGATGATAAGTAGTAAGAAGAAGGTGCTTTTGGCATCCCTGATGAAGGACCTAAATCCTGCACAGTGATTATGAACCTTTTCTGACAAAGGTCTGAGGAGTGATTAACACTTCGAATGATTTACAGTGAGCAAGACTTTGTGGTCCATTCACAGTCAGAATCTTTATGAATACTTTCTGGAGAACAACATCTTAACAACATCCAAGCATACTTGTGACTGAAAATTGTCCGATGTGATGAGATATCAGTTAACATGTGATAACTGTAAACATATAGCCACAGCTGTGCAGACTGCGCGCTGATCTGCCCGCTGCTAGAGTAATGTCTAAAACAAACCACATGCTTGTTTTCAGTGACAGATGAGATGTTCTGATCCCAGCTGCCAAGTGGGTGTTGGCTCTTTATCCTCTGCTCTCATCCAGGTGTTGTCACATACAACAGAACAGCAGGATAGCACTGACGGTAGGCAGTAGACTTTGAGCTCTTTGATTGCGTTTGTTTCTTAAGTTCTTGAGTTAAGCATGCAGATGTGTGACAACTTAAAGGCAGAGGCTGGAATAAATGACTAAAGAGCATAAGGAAAGCAGGTGTTTACATACAGAACATGAGGACTCACTGCATGGTGTGAATATAATGAAAATGTTGAGGGAATGTTTTTGGTAGGATGGAGTTCATCTCTCCAGTGGAACTTCAGAGGTTTTGATCATCTATGAGAATCCTGCTCCCAGCTAAAGATGAGGACAGAATTTGTTAACACAGCCAAGTCCACCAGAAACATCCCAGTTGGATTTGGTGTCTCACGAAGTAACAGGGAGTCAGCACTTCCCTCCAAGAATTAGACACTTTAAGACCTGTGGCTGGTACAAACTAAGAGGAACCTGTCAAAGTGAGAACTAGGAAGATATCAATGTTTTTGACCAAGTGCCAGTGGACAAATGGAGAACGGTCACATCGGATATTCATGCCTGATGCCAAATGGCTGATTATTGAAGAGAGACAGGAGTTACGATGATCTACCCATTTGTAGAAGCGCTTTTCCTTTTATGGGTCATGGGTTTTAATAGACTGGTTACCTGTCCAGGTGTTCCCTGCCTTCGCCCTAAGTCAGCTGGGATAGACTCCAGCCCCCCCGCGACCATAGTGAGGATTAAGCGGTGTGTAGATAATGGATGAATGGATGGTCATGGGTTTTTAACACTTCAAAGTCATCAGAGACAGTTACATTTGCAAATAAAGAATAAGCACTTAAAGCCGTTCTGGAGGTTTGTGGTGGACACTTTTGTCAGCACCTGTTTGTCAGTTTTTGATTAAATTTGTCACTTATTTTTGCATCAAGCAAGGATGGCTATGAAACAGCTCACCAGATCAGAACACACCTGAATAATTTGAGGCCCAATAGTGCCAGTGTTGGTAATCTGGTAAACTAGTGCAAAGGTTGAAGGTTTCTAGTTGACTTTATTCCTGCGATGAAGGCAGCTGCTTGTTCTGCAGTTAATTACTTAATGAAAACAACCCAGCTCTGTTTTTTCTGAAACAGAACAAAGATAGTGGCAATAATTTTTTGCAAGGTTGGATTTCCTAACCCTAAGCCAAAAGGATTGACCTCCCCAAAGCAATTAGCTTGTGATAATTTAATTGGATGCAAATGTGATAATGGCATGCATATAGGAAGAACAACTGAAAACTAAGACAATATTAGCCCTCGTGTGGCTTTTGACGTTTTATCAAATCTGGAGTACCTGACTGGCCCGACGCCTAAACTTTTTCCCGTTTTAACCTTTTTTGATCGTTGATATTATGCTGTCATTAGACATTTCATTTTATAAACTTGTGTTAAGTCAAATTATCATAAGTAAACTTACATACACAAAAGGGTAGCAGTTTTTCTAGGACACATTTAAGTCAGTCAAACAAGACCATATTTAATGAAAAGGCAACTTTTTTAAATTTTGCATTCTAGATTACATAATATGGTCTATCAGTGACATTTTGTGGATGTATTACACCTGCTCCATGTTAAAATAGTGTTCAGGACAGTGCATCATAAAAAACAAGATGTACTGTGGCAGCTGACTGCAGTGAATGCTGGCTGGAACGCTTCCAGAGAATCTAGAGTCGGGTCAGAGACTGCACCGGAGCTGGATAACATGTCTGGGAGGAAGCACTGAGTGCTTTGTCTTTTAAAAAAGTGAATTATAGTAAATGCTGACTGTTGTTAAGATACAGGGACAAAAACTGAAAAAAAATGTTGAAGATTGTGTAAGAAAATAAAAATGTAGAAGACGAGGATTGTGTCAGTATGCTGTGGTATGAGCCAACTGAGAGGCTCAGTAGGCTCACTGTTATGAAGGCTGCATTCTGCTGCTGCGTTTTTCCAGCTGGTCTTATTGAGTGCAGATGGCCTAATAAAACAAGTTGTTTTGAAACAGGTTAAAGTGGACGCCCAGTGAACAAGAGTCCCAGGGTTAGGATCCTCTCTCACCAGCCAACAAATCTCACTGTGTTTGGATCAAAATAATGACTTAGACTCTACTGAGCTGGATGAGTTGTGCAGTGAGTAACCCACTTAAAGCCATGTTAGTGGGGCTCTGTAAGGGAAGAGCGGGAAGTCAAGAGGTTTGCCCAGAATCCGGTTGGAGGTGATTTAGTTAGTGTACAGCCGTTTGTCAGAAATTCAGGATAGAAACACGTTGTTTGTTTTGATTTTTTTGAACTACTTTAACCAAATTAGTGTAGAGTAGTTTTGTTCCTCTCTGATTTCATGCTCTCTGTCTCTTTCTCGTTCCTGCTCATGTCCTGTGAGAGGGTTTGTGAAAGTTGCCCTCACAAACACAAACAGGGGAGAACACTTCTGTTTAGAATATTCAAGGGCTGTTCTGGGCTTTTAGTGATCTTTGTAAAAGGGAAACCCGGCAGTTTACTGCACCTATGTTGAGATACATGAATATCACACAGTTAATGTTACACTGTAATACCATTTATTTGAACTTTTTGCTGACTTAATCTATGTGCTGTCGGGTTCTGGGCAGGTCGTGTACTGTGGGTTTATCAGTGGGTTTTCATTAAAAACAGATGCCCGCTGTAGCAAGCAGTAGGATTAAACCAAAAGAGTCCAATTGCCAGTCAATGGTATGCCATCACAAATAATCCCTTTCACTTACACATTGTGATTTGATCCATCATTAATACTGTAGAAGAACATTGACATCATCTAGTAATAGTTAAATGGTTTGCATACAAAAAGATGGGGATGAAATGAAGTTTAGCCAGCATGGCAGTATATGGCACTGTGCCAAATATAAACAAGGGCTCAAAACAGAAGAGGTTAAAAAGTATGCAATTTTTTCATTAGTTAGTCGTCATTAGTTTTGTTATTTTGAATGAGTTTGCTTACATGAACATGAATATCACCTACATGTGTCTGGCTCTGTGTATCCATGCTGCTGCAGCTAAAGCCTTATTCGGGTAGGACTAATATTACCTGGGGACCTCATGTGATTTAAAAATTACACCTCCACACTTGTTTACTCAAATTTACTGACAATATCCACAGATAGAAGATTAACAGGCTGCCAGATGATAACTGTTGAGTCCACTGAAAGTAAGCAAAATGTTCCTTACTGCATGCTGCCATGCATGTCATCCATTTTCAGAGATTTTGCCCTTCTGATTTATTTATGCTTTTTGTGACTTGGTCTTCATGCTGTGTAGAAACATGAGCCTGAATTTACACCTAAAATACTCCAAACTTTAATTTAGAATTGTCAGCACAGCCTCCATAATTCTTGGGAAAGTGACAGGACAAAAGTAGAGAGAGAAAACAAAAAACTTGGCAAAAAGAAGAAAAATGTACCCAATATCACAGAGATCCTGATTAACACAGGACAAATGTGTAAGGTTACTTACAGTGGCAATTTTACTTGAAAAATTATTTGCACTGGCTTAAAATAACAGACAACTTCTGCAAAATATCCATACAGTCAATGGGTGTACTGAAGGTGTTAGTTTGACTCATGTCACAACATGGAAAGGGCTGATAACCAGCAACCAACCTACAACCACCCAGCAGGGAGCAATGGAGATACTTTGGCTTCTTATCTGAAGCGCTGTCCTGTTAGTCAACTTTACATAAAGTTTATGGTTTAAACATGATATTCATAAGTTTATCCTAAGCTTTTTCACTTACCATCACCACAGTATAAAGACTTTATTGTGTTTTAAGATCCTTCTTTAGTCTGTTGAATATTTAATTTGCTTTTCCCTGCCCTGTGACTGGCAGGCAGGGCTTTATCCTGGCACTGATACGGATATGGAAACAGAACGGTGAGTCTAGCATCAGGCCTGTCAACAGTCGTACTCCTTTTCCAAAACAGCTGTGGGCCCTTCCTTCTTGAATGGAAACAAATTTTCATTGTGCAACAGCCTAAAGTGTAATTCTGTGGTTCTCCCATTGGTTTAGCACATATGAATGATCAATTATTTTTTTCTCTACATGCAAGCATGTTGGTATTGAAAGCAATCCTGATGCCTTCAGTACACCATTGAAGCCAACATTCACACCCAGAGTTCAGCACACAGACATATTGGGAGTTCTTCCACGATAAACAGCAATGGAAGCTGCTATTTCCAAGCCTTTTGTGCAGCCAGGATTCTGCCTTCCCATCTGGTCAACTGCACAATTACACACCTCCACAAGCAACCTTTTAATGGCTGTCAGACAGGACGTTTAGAACAGGCTGTGAAATTGTGTGCTCCTACATCACACAGCATTAAAACATCTGGAACATTCCACCACAAAATGGTTGAAAGTGAGATCATGGGTTTTTTGGGTTTACCATCACTCTTTCATTCTTTAACCTTAAGTAAATACATCAGGAAATGTAATTATTCAACTGTATAACACCGATTTGATCACATGTGACCCATATGTGGCCTAAGATGACTTGTACGCATTTTTGTAACCTTCTCACATTTTCAGTGTCACGCGGATGAATCATGCACTGTTTAGGGAGCAGATTGTGTATTTAGAAATGCCTTTGTAGGTTTGATTTGTATATAATTTGTTATTCGTTAAATTGTTGTTATGAGAAAACACTGTGGTCTGTTTGTAGGTCTCATCCTGTGATTGCCACAGTATATTGAGTGCCACACTGTCTAAATTTCAGCCACGTTTTTTTTTTTTATCACTTCTCATTTCTTGTTTCACTTGAAGGAATAATACAGTTTATTACAAGTTAGGCCTTATTTTTGACTTAGGCCATCAGTTTTGATAGCCAAAGTACTTAGATCAGGAAACACATGCAGTCACACTATCAGACAGGTGTAACGGCTTACCTGAGACTACCCTCCACAGAAGATCAAGAAAACATAAGCAATGCCCTTTCTATTAGTAAGGGCTGCAGCAGCACATGGTCGATCATGCAGAGAGAGAGAGACAAAAGAACACTCAAGTTTTGGTTACATTTCAAATCAAATTCCCCAGACGGCTTGGGATTTTAGCCACTACACTCCCTGTAAAAGAGCTGAAGACTCCAAAAAGTTCTGTCTGTCAGCTGGTCTTCAGACTTCCTGACCAGATAACGTCTAACGCTGATCAACCTCAAACCAGTACTGCTATTGGCCGCTAATCAATGTCAACAAAACATACTAATCTGGAACATTGGAAGGATCACATCAAAACTCAAAACAAACTGTATTGCTGTGTGGCCCTAAACCATAAATAGAAAGTGGTCAAATATATCTTTACAGTCAGAGATAGAGAACGTGGACAGATTCTGACCTGGCCTTGGACAAAGAACAACAGAAGAAGTTGTGGCTGCTGACAGAGGAATGAATCTGTGATCACTGAGATGGAGATGCACTTCCAATTAAAGTGTGAAAAATATGATATATGTTACCATAGCATAACTCAGGAATGATTTAGGAAAGTCAGCATGTTAATCCTAAACTTCATAGAACGAGACAACACTGAAAAGCAACAGATTGGGGCACACAGCATACCTTGTTGCATAATATGTGACTGCATGTCACCAGCCAAGGCCCACATAGTTAAAACATCAATTGGACATTTGTCTTGATCTTTCAGCCTTTCAGTTTACATTGTGTTGTAAGATCCAATAGCTTCTGCAGCGATGTTAACTCTGAGTGCACCAAAACAATGCCAAATAGTGGCTACTGGAATCTAGGAACTAGAACATATGGGAAATAGACTAACAAAAATGTGTAGTGTGTAATATAATTATGGTGTATTTTATGTTGTTGATGTGATGTGACTGAACGTGAAGTAGTAAACATTACATGGTGGAGAATAGTGGTACGTTGGTGAGAAACTGCATGTAAAGTAACTGACTGCAGTCTCTGACTGGCTATGGTGGCGTAGCTGTGTTAGCTAAGGCTACTCTAAAAATCTTATTTGGTTTACATAAAAATGATGCAGTATACAGCAGAAATGAGTACACCTCCGTGCAATATAATTTAAACGGCAAATGATTTCAAATGTAATTACCGCTCAATAATCGTAAAATTTCAAAGTTTTTCCTTTTATGAAAAATCTAAAACAAATAGTTTGGTCTAGAATATATTGAAACTTCAGGGCCCAAAGTAAAAACTTGGATGGACTGTGTCTGTCTGCATGTCGTTATCATGGAAAAGAACTGCCAGTGAAACTGAAAAAACATGTGATTCTAAGACTTCACAGAGATGTAAAAGACAGCGTCCAAGAAAAAACACCCTGCTTTCTCTTTTCAAAAACCTGCAACATTAACTTTGTTAAAGAACATGAAAAGCAGCCAATAGGATGCTGCAAGATCATTCTTTTATCAGATGAGACCAAGATACATTTCTTTGACTCAAATGAGGTCCAGCATGTTTGGCACGACAAGCTAGGAATGGCACAGTGAGTCCCAACATTGGCACATGTAGGTGGCAGTGTGATGATATGAGGAATGACTGCAAAAGGTGTTGGGGAGCTAACATTAGTAGCACTATAAATACCTGTTAATATACCAAAGACTGTCTGTCAAGATGAGTCAAAGTCTGCAGAAGCTTGACAAGAAGAATTTTCAAACATATTAACTATCCAAAGCACACTGCAAAAATCCCACAAAAGTTTCTAAAGAAAAAAGTGAAAACTATGACCTGGACAAGTATGTTACTTTACTTGAAACCAAAAGAACACGTTTTGTATATTTTCAAAAGAGAGGTAGAGCAACACAGCCCTTCCAGCAAAGAGTAGCTGAAAAATTGTATCTTAAGAATGGCATAACAGTCTCTGTCTGGGAAAAAATAAAATATTTAACTCTCAGTAATGAAAGTTGTGCTGGAGTTTGTTGCATTGATTTCCTACTATGGGGACATTTTTTTAAATAAAGAAAATCAAATTTGTTTATTTTCACATTAAAGCAAATACATACTATTCAGCTTAGAAGTGATACAATTTAAAATTTGATTTACGTGATGTTTCAGGGGATGCACAGGAGTTCAAGATTCAAGATTCAAGAATTTTATTGTCATATGCACAGCAAAACAGGTAGTTGTCCTTCACAATGAAGTTCTTATTCTGTTCAATCTCCATCACCTCACAGCTAGAATATCCCCAGTTAGTGTTCCGGCTAGGATGCCCAGAATCATGTTGTCCCTGTGTCCCCTGCCTTCACCCTGAGTCACCTGGGATAGACTCCAGCCCCCCATGACCTGAGGGTGGATTAAGCGGTGTATAGATAATGGATGGATAAAATTGGTATTTTAAATAAATGTACTAATTTATGTTGTTTACTGTACATTCAACTCAGACTTCTTTCTTCCCCTTTTGTCATGTTTTTTTTTTTTTTTTTTACCTTCACCATAAATCAATAATAAGCTTGTTTCCATGACAATAACTGAATGTTAGTCCCTCAGGAACATGTAGGAATATTTCTGGGGCCGTACTGTCTCATATGGCTCTGACTCATCCAACAAATAACTTTATGTAATGGAAAAACAGGAAGCTACAGAGAGCTTTGTGAGTTTTAAGGTTGTCAGTAATCGCCCTCTAGTGGTGCACCCGGAACTAATCAGGGAGCAGTTGGTCCAACCTGGAAACTCCAGTGATGTTTGTTTAATTGTTAACTTTAAGGTATTAGCAACTACGTAATAAGATACAAGACTTCAACATAAAAGCACAGTCGGTACGCGTGTCATTTTTAATAATTGTATATCAAAAGAGGTGACACGTCTTTAACAATTCTAAAGAAAAGAACCTCGCCCTGCTTTTAAAATTTCCACAGATGAAAGAAAGCAAGAAAGAAAGATTGCCTTGCTAAAATTCGAGAAATGAGGATGACTGAGAATCTACAATGGCTAAATAAATAAAAAGGCTAGTACATGATTTTTCTAGGATTTTTCATTCATTTCATTCATTTTCCAAAGAAGAATGGGGGCAAAAATGGGCAACGCCCTACGTTGAACCATTTTAATTTCACGCTGGCGGTTCTGAGAGACACTGCAACAGGTAGTGAAGCAGCCAGACCTTTATTGTGAAAGAGCCGCGGCAGGTAGCAGCTGACAGCTCCTGAAAACTTTGCTCGTGATTTCGCTTCTGCTTCTGTGACGCTGGCTCGACTGTCCTGGCCAGTGTGAGACGGTAAGACACGGAACAGAAAACACAGTGACAGGTTGTGTTTATTTGTTGTTTATCCGTCAGCTAATACTGCTCTGTAGTGGAATGAAAAAGTCACCAGTTTCTCGGTTATGCAGCCTTTGTGTCGTAATGTGGTTGTTGCTCGTGCTGTTAATATTAGAACATGGCAACTGACTTTGACAGCAAGGTGCTAAAGTCTGTGCTTAGTGTTTAGTTTGATCACTCAGTGGTTGTAGAGTTAAAGTCTCTGTCTATGAATAGGTGCAGTCTGTTGGTTCTGTTTCCGCTCTGGAAGCTGGTCCTGGGTGGTATATTAATAATGGGCCGGATGTCATTGGCACCATTGCGTGCGCGTGAACGTAAATTAAATCTCAGTCACATCATTCTCTCTCTATATATATATATATATATATATATATATATATATATATATATATATATATATATTTACTTCTTGTGTGTTTTAATCCATATTCTTATTTATCTTAATATTATTATTGTTTCGGTGTGGAACAGGTGCACAACGCATTTCACTGCGCGTTATGCCATGTATAACTGTGTTTGTGACCAATGAAAGACCTTGAATCCTTGAATAATTTTCAGTCAAGTTTTAACTCTGAGATTACCTGTCACCATTGAAGACCAGGAGCGTTCTTGTGTTTGTAGACCGTGAATACATGCTGAGCGAAGCATGAGACGGACACCATCATCTGCTGCTCCATCAGTACGACAGAATGGACTGGTTGCTTCTCGTTCTTCATCTTACTCTACTTCTTAATTCTGGTGAGTAAACCATGTGTACTCAGAGAAGTGATTTTGACCATTTACAGACTGCTGTGATTTGTTCGTAGCCCTGCCTGACAGGTGCTTCCGTGTACCTAGTGTCCAGCCTCCACCTTCAGGCCTGAGCACTCAAGTCCCACAGCTTGATTGTATGCATTCGAAAAGAAATGGGACACATACAGTGATAGTGCTTGGAAACAATGCACGAACATTAAAAACAAAGTACATTTAAACTTGCACTTTGTTCACAGTTTCTTCAGCTGCTAAGCTTACAACTCACTTCAGTACCCTGCAATGGGTATACATTTTTTGCAAGCGATTAAAAGTCAAAAAAGCCATAACTATCTGTAAATCATATACAGACATTTGACTACAACAATAAGCAACTCTACAAATGAGCAGTAACCCCAACAGCGAGGAGCCACATGCTGTCACTTCATAGGGAGTTTCTTCCACTTTTATGTGGAACTAATTTCACTTTGAACTATGGGCAAATTTCTCAGGAACGTCTGCAGGTATGTGGATGTACAGGAAGTATGCAGAATCGCTTCAAAGTTACCATCACAGCCCTCAGTGCACTTGACAGTGGGACAGCCCTGAGCCCTCACACGCTTAGCAGAACAAGTCTCAAAGTATGCAGGTCTGTGAATGTGAAGATTGGGATTAGGCCTTTGAGTGCTTCATCACATGTCAACTTGTTGTTCACTCAGCAGTCACCTCCCTTCCTGCACCAGTCAACGTTTCTGTTATCTCCAAGAACTTCCGCCATGTCCTCCGCTGGGACCCTGGGCCTGGCTGTCCACCAGGGACACAGTACATGATCTCAAAGAGGTAATTTCACTATCTACCATCTTATTGACTGTCTCATTTCTTAGCACACAGGGGCTGATAAAATGTCCCATGGAACTGTACTCTGTAGAGTTGATGTTGCCTATTTGCCCACAGAGCTGTTTATTGAATCTCAACAAACCTTTTAGAGCTGAAGCATGTCTGCATATAGCACTGGGCATGTACAGTTGTGAACGAAAGTTTAAACATGCTTGTGAAAACCATGTATATCATGGTAGAATTGAGTTTAAATGACTCCTACAACTCTTTATTTTCTAGAATTTCATGATTGAAATACAAGCGTCGTTGTTGCGTTTTGTTTCTTTCATAGATGTATTGCAGGTGCTCTGGAAATATGACAACCGCTTACATTTGACTAAATGTCCATTGGCAGTTTTCACCTCAGTTAGGTGCTTTTGTTAGCCATCCAAAAGCTTCTGGTAAGCATATTGCTGTATCTTTGATGACCACTCTTGACAGAATTTGTGTAGTTCAACTAAATTTCAACATTTAACATTGTTTTTCAGCACAGTCCGCAGATTCCCAATGCAGTTTAAGTCAGGACTTTGGGGAGACCAGGCTAAAACCTTCATTCTAGCCAGACTGAGCCATTTCGTTACTACTTTTGTTGTGTTTGGGGCCATTGTCTTGGTGAAACACCCTACCACATCCAAGGCCAAACCTTTAGGCTGATGATTTTAGGTTTTCCTCTGTAGCTGGTGATAGTTTTCATTTCCTTCCTGATTGTGGCAGTTGCACAACTATGTCATGCACGTTATACTTAGAAACATTTGTTTGCACAGTTGATTTTGGGATCTGAGGTATCTTGGAAATGGCTCTGATTAACTTTCCTGACTTGTTCAAGTCAGTGATATGCTACTTCAGATCTGTACTCAGCTCTGTAAATGTTCCCATTGTAGTGTATGTGGCTGAGTACAATGAGTTGATGTTCTGAAAAGTCAGTTCAGTTATTGCTAGTGTACTCCTCTCTCATTGTGAAGGAAAAATTACTTTCCTGGTTTGGAGTTAATCTTGTAGAGAAGATATTGACCTGATTGGTCTCTTTAGGTTAACGTAGTGCTGTAGCAGATGTGCGCTCTGCAACTCTTCTATACATTCTTGACCTCATGCAAACCTCATTGTAGGAGGACAGGCAGGCTCTGACTGGAAAGACAGGGCTCTTGTTTAAGGCGCAGGCTGGTAAAATATTTGGTAAATCCCTCATTCCCTCATATTGCCAGTCAGCGGGTGATATATGGAACAAGTAATGAGCAGCATAAAACAAAGTGTGATGACTTAACTGTTCCTTGTTTAGTAGTGAGATTAGTTGTGATATCTTTGATATCTGATAAACATTTTGTAGGATAACTTGTGATTTGTTATAACACCCACAAATTTCATTTCATACACATTTTAATGCTGCAGTTTATCTTTATTTTAACATTTGTGTGACTTACACAATATCCAAAAACTATAAACATTGTTTTGCTTTTATTTCCCTTTTGTTCATCATTAGGCTGTATTCCAGAGTCATTAATGGAGTTGTGTAGAAAAACCCTGATGAAAAGATTAGTTTTTTTAGAGTTTATAGATTTTAAATTTCACCTTGCCATCACAAACTGGAGAATGTCATTGTTTCTTTGATTTGCTTATATGTTTGTTAATATCATAAAATTTTGATTTCCATCCTATCTGCAGTTAGTTCCATTGCTACTCATCAAATTCAGTGCTGAGTTCTTTAGTAAAAACACTAAAAGTAAGTAAAACACAATAAGACATACAATTTCCTTTTTTTGGAAAGAAACTAGGGCAGATAGTAAACTTATTCCTCAAATTGTCCCTTGTTTGCAAAATCTTAGTTTACATATCAACCTTCTGCTACAGCTATGGCTTAGCATCCTAGACACAGTTCTGTGTAGTCACTACCTGGGCTAAGAAAGATGTAGAACTGTGACAACTGGTCGATTAGTTGGTTCGTCAATTAGCATTAAATAAATTGACAAATATTTTTATAATTTAATAATTGTTTAAATCATTGTTATATTGACCTTGTCAGTTTTTATCACTCTCTCTGTGTTCCAGGATCAACTGTGACCTGTAATTTTGTCACGTTTTCAGTCAGAGCAGAGGTTGGCTGACAATATGTGGCTTAGCTGAACATCGTCTTTGATGGAATGTCTGACTGGTGGTACTTTTTTCTCGCTTCTGCTTTTCTGACTTTTGCTGAAGCGGTTCTCACATTGGGGTTTATTTCCATCAAATAGGCGTGTAGCGTGTGCCTAGTGTCTTCTGTGCGAGCAGTGCAGCTGTGACCACAGCATCCTTTTAAAGGAACCAGTAATTCAAGCACTCTCTTCAAAAGCAAGTGGGATGGAGTTTGGGTGTTCCAAAGCGTGTCTTTCAGTTTCAGATGATCTAATCTTTTGTTTTGACAGCCATTGTGGAGGTTCACATTTCATTTAATTGTACTTGCCAAAGTACATTTAATTCAACCCTATTAACAAGTGTAGTGTATGTGTTTAGAGCCTGATACAGCTTAATTCTCTGTGCCCTAGAGCGCCATTGTTGTTCAGAAATTATTAATGCGACTCATTAAGCCACACTGCAGTTCTATGTGTTTCTTCATCCCCATAAACACACACTGTACATTTTGTTTTGATTCAGTTTGATTCACATATGCCATCTTGCTGCCTAAAATACTTAACAATACTCAGGTGGTAATTATTCCACCTCTGAAAACAGTCCCCAACAAATCATTCACTATTCCATGTTTTCCTGTAACTCCCAGCATTGCCAACCGCTTGCTCATGGGGAATAAAAAGGCACCTTTTGATTGTTGGGTTCTTTCTTCAAAATTCGTAAGATCTGTACCTTTCTATGTTAAGCACTGTGAGATGACGTATGTTATGAATTTGCACTATATAAGTAAAATTGAATTGTATTAACTACACTGCTGGCTGGACTACGAAGTGAGATTAGTGGGTTAGCGAGGTATGTTGCCCTAAAAGATCTCCATGGTAACTGACGCTGTGGAGCTAGTGTTGTCCGGGACAGGTTCAGAGTTTCAGATTTAAACTGGCTGAAGCTTTTCACTTTAACCAGATCGTTTCCTGACTATTATTTATGAGCGTTACAGATTCTCAGCTGAGGGAATGTGTTTTATCTGCAAACCTGTTGAGTTGTGCGTTAATAATATCATTGAATGAAGCCGTGTAATTACAGCATCACACACTGGATGCATTGCGTTGCCATGGGAACCAGACATGTATTTAGTTGGTGATGCAAAAATCGCATAAATGTTTTTTATGTTTGGCTCTGATTTTCTGTCTAGTCTGTTTACTCTGCTGCTACTGCAGCTGATAGACCACAGATTAGAAAATTATTCTGCTGGTATTTATTACAGAGAATATTCAATTAGTAACATTAATTTCCCTTTGCTTTCCCCAAAAACTAAAATATATCCTGCATTATGGGACAGTGTTCATTCAATATGATAAATATATGAGGTTTAAAATTTAACATCAGTAACGTGCAGCTGTCAGTTAGAAATAAGCGACTGCACTGATCAGTAAAATAAATATAGTAACACACGTTTAGCAGTTTTCTACCAGCCTTCCTGTCTTGAATCATTGGCAGTAGCGGCGCTTTACTGTTGTACATTTTTATATTCCCCATTGTTCTCCATTAAAACAACATGTTGGCTAAAGTGAGCAGGACACCATTGTTTTATTTTGTATAGAAGGTGCACCACATGATGCATTAAACACCCCCCTTTAATATGAATGCTCACGAGTCTGAAGCAGAAAGACTGAGTTAATAACTAAGTTTAATAACTACCTTTTTGTCAACTCTGACGGGGGCTTTCGTTTTTGTCGAGCCACCTGACAAAGAAAGCCTGGCTATGTCAACCTTGCTTCGTCGTACAGCCCTCAACTGTTGCTTAAAATGTACTAAGTTGTTTTTATCTTTGTTTCATTAATGAGCCAGAAATTGCAAAAACAGAAAGAAGCGTTAGATGTTAACCCTGCAAATGGGTCTTCAAATGGACAGTGACCCTCAGCATACCACCAGATTAGTTACAAGGAGGCTTCAGGACAGCAGAGTCAGTGTTGTGGAGTGGCCATCACAAAGCCCTGATCTCAGTCCTGGAGAACATTAGTGGGCAGAGCTGAAAAGGCATGTGGAGCAAGGAGACCAACAAACCTGACTCAGTTCCACCAGTTCTGTCAGGAGGCACACCTCAAACACACTGCTTCCTCTGGTGACAACATGGAAAATCTAAAGAAATCATCAAGATATCAGGAAGAGAATTGTGGACCTCCACCAGTCTGGTTCATCCTTGGGTACAATTTCCAGATGCCTGAAGGTTCCACGTTCATCTCTTCAAACAATTATATCAGTTATAAACACCATGGGAATGTCCAGCCATCATAGCGCTCAGGAAGGAGACGGATTCTGTGTCCCAGAGATGAAGTGTTTTGGTGAGAAATGTGTGTATCAACCCCAGAAGAAAAGCTGAAGACCTTGTGAAGATGCTGCTGAAGCTGGTCAGAGAGTCATTATCCACAGTGAAACCAGTCCTGTACCAACATGGGCTGAAAGGCTGCTCAGAGAGAAAGAAGACATTACTCCAGAAGAAACATAAAAAAGCAGATTACCGTTTGTAAGTGCACACAGGGACAAAGACCTTCATTTGTGGAGACATGTCCTGTGGTCTGATGGAACTAAAACTGAACTGTTTGAACCTGATCTCAATCCTGGAGAACATTAGTGGGCAGAACTGAAAAGGCATGTGGAGCAAGGAGACCAACAAACCTGACTCAGTTCCACCAGTTCTGTCAGGAGGAATGGGCCAGAATTCATCAAACTATTGTGAGAAGCTTGTGGAAGGAAACCCAAAACGTTTGACCCAAGTCATACAGTTTAAAGGCAACACTACCAGATACTAAGGAAATGTGTGTAAACTTCTGACTTTGAAGAAAGTAATAAATAATTCTCTAAAAAAAAAATCTCTCTCTCATTATTCTGGCGTTTAGCAAATAGAAATAACTTTGGTAACCCTAACTGACCTAAAACAGGATAAGTTTAGTCTAATTTAATGTCAGACAGTGAGGGAAAAAAAGGCTCTGTGTCTTTTTATACAGTGTATGTAAACTTCTGGTTTCAACTCTATGTAAATGCTTGTTTGCTGTTCAAATGACTAAGTAAAGTCAGCAGCAGCTGATCCAGGGCCTAGATTTTGGAGCCATGTTTATTTGTGGAACCACTGCCTGAGCTTTTAAGTAAGAACCCAAGAAAAAAGTACTTTTTAATGTATATCAAATTTGAGTGAATGTATAAGTCCAAATCAGCTAGCAGTAGATAAAGGAAAAAGGACTGAAGCAGAGGAGATAATTTACATGAGAGTCTGAGAGACAGCTACAGTAGAAATCAAAGGAAAACCAAAAAGAAAATGAGACCAAACCAGCTCATTAAAGAAAGAGATGTGAAAAATTCAGAGATAAAAGTGCGGGACTGAGAGGGTGACATAGCAGCAGTCTTTCCAGGCTTTAACAGCTGTCATGACTCCATCCATCCATTATCTCTACTGCTTAATCCCCACTAAGGTTGTGGGGGGGCTGGAGTCTATCCTAGCTGACTTAAAGTGAAGGCAGGTTCACCTGGACAGGTAACCAGTCTATCACAGGGCTACACTTAGAGACAGACAACCAAACACACTCACATTCACACCTACGGACAATTTAGAATCACCAATTAACCTCAACATGTTTCTGGACTGTGGGAGGAAGCTGGAGAACCCAGAGAGAACCCATTTCATGCTAAGAGTGCTGCAGACATTAACTAAAAATCTGTGTCTCTTTATTCAGGCCGAGGACGAGCCAACGCGAAAGGCTGCACAACTCAACAAGAACATCATTTAAACTGAAGCTCAACAACATGAGGACGTATACTCTGATGGTCCAGGCATCCTACAACCAAACCCTGTCTCCATGGTCCTCCAGTGTAACCTTTACGCCTTTCAAAGACAGTATGTTAGCATGAGTCTTTTTAATTTGCATCCTTGTTGACTTATATATACACATAGTGTATTATAATTTGTCCAGGGAAAGATCAATCATTGCAGCAGCAAATACTGAAGGTTTGGGTTGTATAAAGGACATATAGTATTTTATAGCCTTTATATATCTGTTGTAAGTCTTATTTCATCAAGTAGCAACACTTGAACTAAGCGAATTGCTACTGACAGAAAAGTAAAAACAGCTTTTATTACCTGAATAAATTTCTTTCCTTTATCATAAGATAAATTGTATTGATCCCTCACCGGGGAAATTCACGTTACAGCAGGTGGATACAAGTAAGGCAAAAACAAGCACAAGACTTGTTTGAAGTGCACAGGTTCAGAACAAATTAGTACCACATTTTTTCTCTGCAACCCTGTTTACACATAAATGTCTTATAAAGCAGAATATGTCTGAATTTAAAAGCGTCTTTTCTTTTTCTTACAAGCCAAAATAGACCCTCCAGACTTCTCACTGGCTGGATGTGGGAACTGCATCCAGGGCAACATTTCGCTGCTTGAGGCTGAAACAGAAATCGATATCCGGAAATTGTACGATGTTCGTTTCAAAGTCTTGTGGCACAAAACAGAAGAAGAAAAAACAAAGGTAAAAAAAAAAATCAATTTTACACCCATGTGAAACCACAGATTTCTTGTTTTGTTTTCTGCTGTTTTGTCTATGATGAAGTATGCAGTTTAATTGTGTTCCTCTAAAGCTGTATATGTATGTTTAACCAAACCACTACAGAGCTCCATACACAACCGCAATGATAAAAATAAAAACTACCCCACAGGTATTTTATTGATCCCATAGATGTGGTCAGACATCCTAAACAATTAAACGATCGTTTTGGGTGAAATCATATCTTGGTTTGTTGCTAAATCAAAGATTCCTGGTGTCAGAGTTGGAAATGATTTTAAACAAATTATTTTTTCTATCAGTTGCAGGACCTTGAAACACAGAACAAGAGTTTTACTCTTCGCAACCTGGAAAAAGGTGTGGAATACTGTGTACAGGTGCGCCTGGAGATTCTTTTGAACAAAAACACTGAGCCATCTCCTTGGAAATGCACCTTTACTAGCCATGTTGAGCATGGAAATGGTGAGCTGTACTGTCAATTGGGTTTTTATGCTCTTTTAACAAAGTTATTATTATGATGCTGAAAATTGTTGAAAGTTCATGTGCTCTGTTTTCATGATTTAAAAGGCGCTTATTGAAAAGTAGTTTTTTTGTTTGCCATCAAATGAAATGTAATGTAATCTAACAATAAAACCTCATATGTTCTCACAGTTTTTGTGTTATGGTCCAAACAAGTAAGTTAGCAGAGTTAGGCATTGATGCTTCCAAATTGAGAGATTTATTAATGTGTGTGTTTGTGTCTTCAGGTCCTTTTGTTTTAGGTTCAGTTACTGCTATTCTGATTTTTCTTTTCATCGCCCTGACGATCGGCGCATCTCTCCTCTACTACACTGGATTCCTTTGTAAACTGCAGACAGCTGAGCCCAGGGCGCTAATTGTAAGAAGTCTGTCTGTCTGTCTGTCTGTCTGTCTGTCTGTCTATACATTTCATACATCTTTAATGTTTGTTCATCGTTTTTCCACACAAAAACATGAAGCTACAAACGAAATCCTATGACAGATGGACTTGTAGCAAAGGCTTGTGACCTCTGTTCAGGGAGCATTCAGTCACAGCTCTTTAGGATACGGAGAAGCATCAGTTTTGCAGCAGCATAATTTAACTGGGTGAATTGGGGATACCAAGTTACATTTAGTAAAGGCGGTAGATCTTTGTGTCAGTATGTATTTGTATATATATATTATTTATGTATTATTATAAATATATATTTTTTATATATATTATATTAATAATATAATAATATTAATAAGAATTTATATATAATATTATATTTTATATATATTATAATATATATATGTATTTGTTTATGTATATTGAATTTCCCTTCTGGGATAAATAAAGTATTTTTCATTCATTCATTATTCCACTATCTCACTGTCACCCTCCCCAGTGGTTTCCTTTTCTTTTCCTCCTCATCTTGTCCTTGTTTTATTGCTCTCTCTTTGCCACTCTAGACGGCTCTGAGCCCAGGCTACACCCTGACCCCAGAGAAGACAACCCTAGACTGGATCTCCATTAGCTCAGAGATGAGGAAGCGGAGAAAGTATAATCTCCCAACACTGCTTCCAGCCACTGGGGAAGCCAACTTTGAGGTGAGTGATGACGATGAAGATGATGAGGACAAGCTCAACGTCTACATGGACATAGGTGCAGGGCTTTCTTCAGGTGAAACACCCTGCCAAGACTCGAGTAATGTGTCCGGAAAGAGCAAGCCAGCCGCCTTAAGGTCATCAGTTATGGTGGAGGCACCACACACAGACTTTGACCAAGGTGAGGCTAAAGCTGAGGAAGCTGAAGTTTCTTTAATGCATAGGTCGGGTGAAACTGGAGTCCAGGGACAAGTGGAGAAGGAGGAAATGAAGGAGGTGGTGGAAATGCAGGACCTGTCAAATGTCAATCTGTTCTCGGTCACCCTTGCTGCATTTGCAAGAGATGATGAAGAGCAGGAGGACGAAGAGCAGAGTTCAGGAGACTCTCTCACAGACTTTTTGAAAATGCCTACTCAGGGGCATTTACTTGCCTCAGACTCAAAACGGACTTTAAATCACACATACGCACAAACTGAATCAGACAATAACACACCCTTTTCACTGCAAACTATGCATACAGACATTATTACAACTGGATATGAAGGCAGGTGTACAGACATCTGGATGCAGCACGAAGAAGACGAGGAGGAGGAATTCTCTGGGTATTTGGGACACAGATGATGTGTTGCTCTGGTGTGTTACTGTATGAATATCATTTATTTATGAGTACCATTTATGCATTTCTCACAGTCGGTATATTCTTTATGAAACATTTGGATGTAATTAAAAAGGTTAATTTTGTTGTGTTTATCAATTCTTATGGACACAACTCATACCCTGAAGCTGCTGTACAACACCTCAAGTTCAAATTTACTTTATTGTCTCCCGTGGGAAAAATTTGTTTTGGACAAAAGGGCAAAAGTAAGCTGCACAGCAACACATACTACTAAAAACACATAAGATACATGACGAATCATAAATAGGTAAAATAAGTTAAAATAATATCAAGAAAAAATCTAAAATACACACATATCCCCACACATACGTATCCAAGATCCCTATGTGCTACCTCCATTTGGTAGCTGCACCTAACTGCTCATTAATGAGCTTGATTGAGAAGGGTAGAAAAGATTTTTTAAAACGGTTGAGCCTGCACAGTGGCACTCTATACCTCCTGCCTGAGATCAACAGTTCATACTCCGTGAACAGGATATGTGATGAATCGGAGAATGTTGTTTGCCTGCCTGATGGCGGCCTGTACAAACAAGTCTTGTGGTATGGGTGGAGCAGGGGTACCCATGACCTTACTTGCCATCTTCACCAGGTTGTGAATCTGTGTTCTTGATTTAACTGTGAGAGCTCCAAACCAGCAGGTGACCCCGTGCCTAAGTATGGACTTGATGGTTGCACAGTAAAAAATCAACATGATTCAACAGACACCAAAAAGCCTGAGTCCTGTGTAGCCATCCGTATGTTAGCAGAACAGATGTATCATGATGTCAGTTAACTCATCCCGTAACGTTACCCTGTTAACCATTCACATTTTAGTATTTATAGAGAAAATGTATTTGAACACCAGTTTATTTTGGAGTGACCAAATGTGCCAGCACAGTGAAAATAAGAAATATTAAATGTCTTTTTACCTCTAACTTATCCATTTCAGAGTCTGAAAGATGGGGGAGGAAAGGGCAGATTTGTTGGATTTGTTATGGGAAAAGCAAGTGGGAGGTGTCAACAAACAGCATCAATAAAAATAGGAGGTAGTTATTCATACAAGCCTGGCCTGTTGGTCCTGTGTGAGCTCACAGTTCTTGTTTAAACATAGCTTTTTTTTCCTTCTTTTTTTTTATCAGACAATGAGTATTTTTAAGTAAGAGCTGTTTTTACCTTTGACATGTTTCGACTGGCACTTCAGTCTTCCTCAGAAACGTCACTGATGTCTGTGGTGACGTGTCTTTATCAGCTGGTGGTTTCCTGGAGGAGTTGTGACCCGCCTGGCAATCTGTCAGATTTGCCTGACGGGCCATGCCTCCTGCCGCCCGGTGGTCTCACAGACGTCAGTGACGTTTCTGAGGAAGACTGAAGTGACAGTCGAAACATGTCAAAGGTATAAACAGCTCCTACTTACAAATACTCATTGTCTGATAAATACATTTTTAAAATTTAAAAAAAAAATACATGTACCTACAATCACAGCAGATAAAATGAACCTAATCACGCTATAGCTGTCTTTACATATGCAAGTTTCCCTGGTTGACATCGCACTATATTTACATTCCTGTTTAACTATACCTATTTCACAGCATGCAAATCACCAGAAGGCAAATCACAAATGTGCCTAATATCGGTAGCAACAGCTGTAGTTCCAGTGGGTTGGTATTCAGCATGCCGGCTCAATACATTTCTGATCTATCGTTAAAACGAATACACCTGTGCTTTTCTTACTACACAAGTGAGAGGGTCTATTAAATCAGCAAGATCTTACAAGTTTGTGATTGATGTTAACAATGATAGCAAAGTCACAGTAAAGTGATTGTATGGCATTATTTATACATTGTAGGTTGTGTTATTAATGACATTAATGATGGCTCTGTTCTATATACTCAAATATCTCAATAAGTCCTGACAGTCATGTGCAGTACCGTGACCCTGAAATGGAAGCAGCTAAATGGAATTCAACCACCATTTTTCATTTACACCAAATGTACCGTTTTGTCACAGTTGTATACTTCACGCTAAGTCTAAACTGTTTTTGAGTAGGAAATCGTGACCAAATTAGGTCAGTGTTAATACTAAAACATATTTAATGTGTGATTGTAAGGTTGAAGTACACCGATATGAAACGATTCAGAGGCAAACAGAGGCATTGCACAGGCATTGTCTATGTAAGTGTCAAGTTTGAAGTGTATGGCCTTATTACTGTCTGAGATAATCGGAGTGAAAAATGCTATTGGAGGCTAAAATGTCCAATTTTTCATGAACTCTCCGACTGTGGAAGAGGATTACTCAATAACTGCAAGGAGCCCGCTTGTGGAACTTCTGTTGGAAGAAGTTCAACTATTTTACTTGATAAAAACCACAATTAAAAGTATTTCCCACGATACTGGGACGGAAGTCAGTTTTTAGGCACTTTCTGAGAGCGAGCCTATGGCCTAAAAGGCGCTATATATGTGCAGGCCAAGATCCTATCCTTCAGTTGATTTTGATGTGAACATCTCTGTTCTGTTGTCAATCCAATGGTAAATGTTCCCACACACCCTGAACGGAACACAGCGCTGTTTCTTGTACGCTGCCCTGCTCCGGTGCTTCTACAAAGTCATGTGATTTCCTATCAACCGCTTCCTCTGATGTTGCCTTTCAGGACCGCCGGACGTTTTACGATTATCTCTACATGCGACATTAAAGGCCGTAAAAGTGCAAAACACTGTTGCGTTGTAAAGCACTTTGAGTTTCGGTAAGGTAGAAAAGCGCTGTATAAGTACAGTCTATGTTACACGTGGTAAACTGTAAATGTTATAATAATAAGAATAATAATAATAACAATAATAATAATAAAAGATTTTAACCAACTCGTGATGTTGTTGTTGCTTTGTTTGTTTTTACCGCTGTAACCGTAAATAAAAGCAGTCTCTTCAAAAATCTTTTAAGTGTTGATATTTTGTCACTATTAAGAGTCAAAAAGCGATATCCTATCGAAATTAGGGATTACAACTGTACTGGAGGTCCTTGAAGGCAGCAGGACGGCCCATCCCGCTGTTTCAGGGTGATGAAAGTGGAAACGCTTCTCGGAGATCGTTTGATCATCAGACTTATCGGTACATGTTCTGACCATTTAGTTTCTTTTCTGACTTTCCTAACCTTTACCCGTGACTCGCCTGTTTTTATGACATGTTGTCGCTGGTGGTCTGACAGCCAAAGACGGACTCTCGAGACGGACTCATTTCTCGCGACGCGCGTTTTGAGAGAACTCGAAATCAGTGGTTTGAGGGTGAAGTCATATTTGATGTGTTATCTGTCTGTAGCGGAGTCTTCTCATGACACTAACGTTAAGATGAACGTTTCGAGCTGACGAAGCCTTTACAGGGTCACAGTGACGGCGTTTAGAAGAGGTGGACGCAGATTTTAAAAGCTAACGGTCATTGGCTGGACACACTCAATGTAAGTGAGTTGTGCGCAGGCCTATTCGTAGTGTTCTAATCAGTCGCTTCACTAACCCTAACCACCATCGTAAGATATGTAACTGAAATGAAAAATCGCAGTTAGCCTAACTGCAGATTTGTTATGCAGACTGTGTTGATAAGGTCAGTGCAAGCAGCTGAAGAGTCCAGACAGGTGAGGAGACCACCTGAGTCTCTGATGGCATGACTGCTCTCGTTTGGATGCTCACGTGGCTGCCCGTGGTCCTGCCAGGTGAGCACACAGTGAAGTTCTTTTATTTTTTAGTGTCATAATCCTGTAACACACCTGGAAGTGCAACTTCAGAGGACAATGCAATTCATCATTTCAAACAAATGTATGTGAGACATAATGTCCAGTGGAAAGCCGGGCTCACCTGGGATCCACCACCACTCAGTAGTGAACACTTACTCATAGACCTGGAGTTGCATCCAATAAACGCTGCTCTTCTAGCAAAGCTTTTTTGAAAATACAGTAGGATTTCTCCTGTTGTTCACATACAGATGCATTTTCACAGCCTAACCTCCCCCCATTCAACCACATACAGCCAAGTCATTTTCACCAGCCAGAAAATGCTCCTTAAGTATTTTATAACATTGTCACTGATGTGTGGATAAACAGGATTAAAATGTGCACGTTTTTATAACTTAAAGTGCATCTGACTTAGGGTTAGCTGTGGATTTATTTGTAGTTCTTTTACAGAATATTAAAGACTGTAAGAATTAAACCTACTTTCTTTAGAAACAAATGGACAAGAAACAATGAAAGACTGATCCGGAACCTTTAATATGGGTCTGTCTCATAACTACTCAGTGTGGCTTACCACAAAAGAAGAAATGCATACAATAAATGTTATAAGGCAAACAATCCTTTTTTTGAAAATTCCATGTAATGTCCTGACTGTTTGTCTTTCAGCAATGAGTAATCTCCCAAAACCTGTCAATGTTACCCTGACCACGAGCCATTTCAGTCATATTCTGAAATGGGAACCTGGACCAGGGACGCCCACAGGAGCCTCCTATCATGTCAGCATTACAACAGAGAGGTGAGTGTCATCTGTGTGTGTGTTTTAACCTCTGCTGTGTGTATGCCAGCAATAACTCCAAAAATCCTTGTAAAATTAGTCTGTGACAGCCTTTCTGCTGCAGGCATTTAGGGTTTGGGTTACAACAGTAACAGTAACTACAAGGTTTTCAATATCTACGTAATCAGACGTAAATCCTCCACACTGTTGAAGCTGTACTATAGGATTCATAAGAATGGAGCAGAGGATATGTAAGATGTCCATGGTACACAGTTTGTGCATGCAGTTCCTTCGTGTGCTTTATAATAAGTACACTTAAATATGAAGGCAGTGGTAGACCTTCAGAGTGAAACCTGAAGTGCTAAAAAGGACTTTCACAGTCAATTAGCGTTACTAAAAACATACTTTTTCATCATTAAACTTTTGTCCTTCGCAAATGTTGGTACATGAGATTAAAACAGGACTTATTGGCTGTTCTGACCCCCCGATGTATGCTTGTTTCCCTCCTCTGTGTTCTTGAAGGGGAACTTCCTGGATGCCTGTGGCAGGCTGTGAGCAGGTCCAACAGCCTCTGGTTTGCAACCTGACTGAGGCGTTCTCT